CGATTTTCTCGAAAATTAGCGAATTTTGCGCACTTCTAAGGCTGGAAAAGTGTTATGTGATCGCATTAGAAGGAAAAGAATGCAATAAAAGGTTCCTAGAACCTTTAATAAAGAAAATAAAAAAAATGTCATTTTATGGAGAAAATTTGTGGCGCCATCTAGCGGCGAAACTGCGAACTAAACTGAAAAAACGTATGTCCGAACACGCAGTAAAGGGGTCAAATAAAAATTGATTTTCTGGGCTTAATAGGCAAAAAAATGCATAACTTATTAAACAAAAATTGCTTTCGAATGTATACGGAATCTTACTACGTCGTCAAAGTTCCGAAATATTACTTTTTATATTTTTCCTTAACGCGTGTACGGGCACACGTTTTTTCAATTTAGTTCGCAGTTTCGCCGCTAGATGGCGCCACAAATTTTCTCCATAAAATGACATTTTTTTTATTTTCTTTATTAAAGGTTCTAGGAACCTTTTATTGCATTCTTTTCCTTCTAATGCGATCACATAACACTTTTCCAGCCTTAGAAGTGCGCAAAATTCGCTAATTTTCGAGAAAATCGCATTTTTATATTTTTGTAGTTCGAACTTTCGCCGCTAGATGGACGCCAATTTTGTAGTCCATGAAATGGGCTATTTTTCTATTTTCCTTAATAATTGTCCTAGCTGGCTATAATTAGATTCGTTCGATTCCGTAGGCGACAAGGAACAATTTGTATATTTCAGAATTTCGGAAAAGTCCCTAGTTTTCGAGAAAATCGAGATTTTCTATTTTCGTAGTTCCGCCGCTCACCGCTAGATGGCGCCACCTGTACCGTTTTGGAGCAAATTCGACAAAAATCGATTTTCTGGCTTTATTAGGCATCAAAACGCATCAAACCCTTATAGAAATTTGTTTCTAAATGCCTCAGGAAGAATACTACGTCGTCAAAGTCCCAAAATATTCATGTTTTTATTTTCCATATATGCGTGTTCGGACATACTGCACAGTTTACAATAAAACCCCACAAAAAATACGATTTTCTTTAAAAACCATCCCTCTAAAACTAAAAAATAATTAAGTTAAATGTAAAAGACTGTCTTCTGAAGCTATACTAATTATATTAATTAAATTTCTCTTTATATAGGCCTCATACTCTTATTTATTTTGCAAAGTAACACCCTTATGCTCCACCTAGTACTTCAAAAAATGATACAACTAAAAATTGCATGACTTTTTCAGGTTGTTTGCGATCGAGAAAGTTTTCTGCATTCCCATTTAGAAGCCAGGCACTTCATTCTGCAGGAACCGAGGTATCTGAAAGGAATCACGAACATCGGTCCCATATACGAGTTCCAGGAACAGCCGAAGTACGTTTCCCTTATTGCTGGCTGCAACTTCAAAGTCTGAACTAAATTTGATATAAAATAGATACACCGTGTCGGATCTGGTTTGGAACAAGTACCCCTTGCTAGGTCGAGACACAGAAATTAAGATATTCAGAAGTATGCTGGTAAAACTGATAGAGTACGCGAAGCTGAGAGACAAGGAAGACACTGCCAGGCCAAAATACAACACCTTAATCATAAAGTAAGTAATTTTCAATCTATGATATATAAAGAATTTAAGGTGCGTTTATTTTCAGAGGTGAACCACGAATTGGGAAGACAAGAATACTAGACGAGTTTACGCAGAACATTCCTCTGGGAATTCGCTGTAATTACATTTCCTTGCACACGGAGGACACCAAGGTTGACTTATGCTTCCCCAAATAATTAATATCAATAACTTCTATTTCAATTTTGCATTAATCTAGCCATCGATCAAATTATTAAAATGACCATGTATCTCAGTGCAGGCCCCACACAGCTTGGCGCACCTAATATTCGCCGTGCCCCTCGGTTTCACCGTCACATCCACCCGAAAAGAGCGCGAAGACAAGCTACTTTCCCAACTAGGCAAAGTGAAGCGTCCCCACTACCTCTGCGCCCTGAATCAACCCTTCAACGTGCGTTTCTCGGTCAGCCGTCGATACAATTCGTTGACGGCATTCGAGAAGCAGAAGGTTCTACGGAAATTCTTGTCGAGACTGATGAGGAGAAGCTTCACGGACCTTTGGATCGTCATCATCGACGACGCGGAGTACAGCGATCGAGAGTCCTTGATGATCTTCGACGTTTTTACCAGAAGAGACAACGTGTTCTTTGTGCTGGCTATTGGAATGAAGCTCAGCAGCGAGTTCAAGATGAATTCTGAGCTTCTGAGCAGAGCTAAGGTTAAATAGAATGATAATACTTGTTAAATACTGTTAAATATATTGTTTTTACTTCTTAAATACTGTTAAATACATTGCTAGTGCTTTTTAAATAATCATCCACATTTTATTTCAACTTGAAAGCATACATTTCTGTTTGTGGAGGTCACTGAACTTACTGGGATAGTTGGTACTTTGTTAAATACATTGCTAGTACCTCTTAAATACTCATCCATTTCTTACTCATTCAATTTAATACTCATTTCAACTTGAAAGCTCACATCTCTGTTTGCAAAGGTCATCGAACTTCCCGGGATCGACAGATGGTACCACGCCGGCCTAGCCTGCCAGATCCTCGACGTGACCGGCATCCCAGCAGAGCTAGAAAAGTAAATGCTCCACTTAAAATTTATAACAATATACTATAGAAATTCTATTTAAGACTCATACAAGAGAGGAGCTTCGGAAATCCAGGCTGGATCGAAAGCTACCTGGTGAGCCTCCTCCAAGTCGGAGGACTGGAGATAATAAACATCAGCAAGAAGGAGGCGAATATAAAGGGCTACGTATTACCTCCCATAACGATGCTAAAAAGGTACACATTCACATCAAATAATTTCTTTAATAATAGTTTTAAATCCAATAGATTCATGTCGCAAATGATGCCTGACCTGGGAGAAGACCGAGACGACAGGTGGCAGATGTACAGAACGAGCTTCAAAGTTTGTTATTTATTAACTCTTCGTTTTTATGGTTGTTATTTTCGTTCGTTTCTTCAGGACAGCGTAATTTCCTTGATGGAGTATAATACTACTATGCCGACATCTAGAACTGATAGAGAAAATGACGAGGCGATAATCGCGGTCTGTAATTTGTCAGAGAATTTCACTTACGACGATGTTAATCCGGAGATCACCATGGATGGTAAAGATTAGTGTACAAATTGAGAAGGCGATGCTAATTAGTTTTGTTGGCAGTGATGATCTTGAAGCTGTTCGACTCCTTGACTCCTCTTGATCAGCTGCTTCTGAAGTGTGCCTCCGTCATTGGGGAAACCGTGAACAGACACATGCTGGAACACCTGATGTCTGTTACCTCTAAAAGAGAAGTTGGACTTGGTAAAACGTTACTCAACTTAAGATACTTTAGCTCAAAATTAGCTTTAGTTCAAAATGACATCATGAGGAATTAAAAATTTACTTCACTTTGCAAGCTGTTTTGAAGCTGTTCGAGATACGAGTGTTTGGCTGTGCGATCGGAGACTTCTCCAGGAACACCGGTCCAATAATCTTCATCAGAAACATGCGGAATCCCAGTTCAGAGATAGACGTCTTCTGCAACTGCATTGGCCTCAACATTCCAGGTGATCACACCTAAACATAGGGATCTTCATTCAAAAGAATAAAGTATTGTGATTCTTCAGAGGAACTGGAAGACTTACCAAGATATGCGTCTTGTGGTCTGATGAGGTTCAAGATGACGATGTTTCGAGACACCACATATCGGTTAGCATCGATCTACCATAATCCGATCACAATATTAATAACCAAAAATAAATCACAATATTAATAACCTCCCATTATTAATTATTATGCAAGGTTACTCACGGAGAATCAAAAGATGGAGCTCCACAGTCAGGCACTGAAGTATCTCCAGCAGTACACGAGACGTTGCGTGTCCTGCGGCGAAGGACAGTTCGCGAAACTGCTGGGAAAGATATCTAAAAAAGAAGAACGAAGAAAGAGAACCACTAACATAGACGATATTTTCGGAACAGTGAGGTTCGACGAGGAGCCCATCACCAAAGAGAAGAAGAAAGGTGAGAAATTGAGATTGCTCCAAGATGTAATTACAGTTTGATAATTATAACAGAACAGAAGCCATTCCTCTCCTGCTTGAACATCTTCCGACGCGTTGAGAAGAAGCCTACGGTTACGTTTTCAGACGTGGACTTCACAGATTGCCAGTGTCATCTGATACTTATGACAGTGTACACACAGATCCTAGAACACTGTCGAGGAATTGGTAAATTACACAAATACTTTACCTTAACACAAATACTTAACACACTCTTTACCTTGATCATCTTAGGAAACACTGAGATGACACTAACCGCCATTTTGGAGTTCGTCGAAATCTGCCTGGTGAACTACAACATACCGCAAGCTCGAAAGCTTCTCACAGAAGGAGAGACAGTTCTGAGCGAGGTAAAATAATTTTAAATAGCTGTAAAGAAGAAACATAAAGTTATGATCGTTGTCAGCTGTTCAAGTCCAAAGAGGATGAAATGGTGCTGCTACCTTACTTCACCGCCAAGATTCAAACTCTTCAAGGTCAGTGTTTCCTTGAGACCGGTTCCATATTCGAGGCGGAGCATATCCTGGAATTGGCGCTGGAAAATTTGGGATACAAGTTCCCCAGGATCGAGGTGGTGATCGACATGAATTCGATGATGCAGCTGACTAAGCTTAAGATGAACCTTGCGTACACGAAGGATTGGAATATGGACACCGATGAGGAGGCGGCGAGCAGCGAGTACACGGAACAGCTGGCTGTGTGCTTGGCTCGCATGTTTGACCTCTTCAGGGTAACTAGAGATAGATAAGTAGAGATAGACAACTTAGTTACAAAGTAACGGTTACGTAAGGTAGCCTAATTTAGGCTAGTAAGGTATATGGAACTCTATATTAGTTGTACTATACTTCTATACAAGTACTTATGCAAGTATCATTAAATTCTATGCTTGGTAATTCTCCAGATCAAAGGTATGAAGAAGCACGCACGTCTGGCATCGATCTGGAGCCTGAACGCCGCTCTAGCATCCAACAGAAACCTCTTCGTCCTCTCAACCTCCTACAAAAACATGCTAATCACCGCCCACATGTACCAAGACAGGTGACGCCTAAAAGATATTTCAATATTATGTCACTCATAATAATTGAAATATGTGTAGATCCGTGATACCACACCTGGAGCAAAGAAGCATCAACATCTGCAGCGAAAGCAAAGAAGCTCTCGAAGCGCAGGAACTGAACATGGTAGCCGAACTGTACACGGGAATATTCTTCTCACGCTGGGTCAGAGGACAGATATCGAAGGCCACCCGAATAGGCTTCATCTGCAGCAGAATAGCCACCGCCATCGGCTCCATGTATCTGCAACTGCTGATCTTTCCTAGGCTGGCGCATCTTCTGATGGTCTCGTGCCGGCACCCTGAAGTGGTCACTCAGCTCCGTGAATTAGGTATTCGATTTTACATAATAATGACTCGGTTTTAATTAATACAGTTGTACATTTGGTGAAATTTTAGAGTTTGTGTCGAGAAATGATCTGGACAAGTCAGCACGTACCTGGTACTACGCACTGTGCGCTGATGTTCACTTGGACACGGGGTTGACGGTTCTGTCCTTCCAGTCTTGCGAGAAGTATTTTCTGCGGGAGGGTGAGCAGATGATTAGTCTGCACGACCCGGAGGCGGAGAGGCGGTACTTTATTTCCATGTGGCTCTGGTAGGTTCGAATGAGAAGGTTAATGAGACAATTTGAGATAACTAAGAACTACCATAACTCTACGAAAATTACAATACTACTATGATGTATTAGGTGTGTCAGGACCGAACAGTGGGAGGCTGCTAGAGTCTGGAGTGGAAGGAGCGTGGACAGTGCACCCATCATGGACGAGCACACAGTGGCAGCAACGATTACATCCTGTAAAAAGCTTGAGGGTCTACTAATTTTGTATGGTACATTTCTATGGTACATCAACTTCCATTTGACAAAGTTAAGAACTGTTTTTGATGTAACATCTTCTAGTTCACAGAGTAAACAGCAGAAACGCTGCCGCCACTGCAACCATGACGGAAATAAAAGCCTTGTTAAAAGAAATAAAAGACGTCGTCAAGATTGTTCGAATAGCGATTCCCAGGTATGTCTCCTAACCCTGGTAGATCAATACAAATTGAAATCGATTTGAAATCACAGGTACATGTTAATGAAAGCGTACTACTACATGATACAATTCCACAAGAGCACAGCATTGAGCTTGCTGAGGAGGTTGAAGAAAGTGTGTCTGAAGGTGGAGAACAAAATGATACACGTGTGGGCGATGCATTGTGAAAAGGTTTTATTTTACTAACTTGCTGTGTTTTTTGGTTAATAAAAATTGTTCGTAGGCGTGGTCGGGTGGAATATCTCCTGTTCAGCAGGATATGTGGAACGAAAATGCGAAGAGTCCGGTGGACGTCGAGTGGGATGAAATTAACGTGAACGAGTCGACGATGGTTTCCTTCACTTTCCCTCTACCTAAATATCGCAATTGAAATAAATTGATACTCTTCAATATTTGTTGCAAAAAACGATCGAAGTTCAGTAGATATTGTAATTTGCGATTCGTGAATCCCTTCTCGATGCGTTACGCTACAGATGCCTCTAACCACCTAAGAAATCTGGGCTACGCACGTGCAAATGTACCGTAATAATAATTGTTGCCTTAATTATAGACGTGGTTTATGCGTAGATACAGCGTGCTCATCACGCTTTTTACGTGAAGCGAGAGCGGTTCCTTCGAAAGCATCCTGCGAGGATAATGGGCCGCCATTGTTCGAAGATGACGCCTCCGAGCGTCATTAGCGAATTTTTAGCCTGAAGCTGCTGGCTAAACTGTAATCTGTTCCCGTTTAATAATCATTAACATCATTAAATCATCGTGGAATGTTTAATCGAGGTTGCATTTTACATAAAATTTAATTAAGTTGGATTTAATTGAAAACAGTGTTCGCGAAGAATGCAGAATAATTTTAAATTTATTCGAAGTTAGAGACATGAAGATTCGATATTCTGATGAAATCGTAACACCTTAAATCACGGCATTTAGCTCGTAATGGAATTCCATCTCACGCTCATTGATCGTTCCGCACCATTTATCCTACGCGATTGTTGTTGCGATCTTGATAAGATCATCGCGATAGTCACAGACGAACGCCGACAAATTAATTGTGCAGCAAAAAGTAAACAATTTATTATGCATATGAAATGCTCCCGTGCCTCGAATCGCTCGTGCCTAGAATCAAAGGGGAATTCTTAAAAGATATTAAAACGGGACGAACAATTTCGAGGAAAAAAGTCATGCGTTGAAATTCATGGTGCTCCGTGCACGCGATCATCATGAATTCTTTTCCGAGATTCCGGGTCAATAATTGGTGAATTATTCATTCTTAAATTATGTACTTGGAATTTATACTGTATTGGAAATAGTTTGAGGATATTAGAGATTGGGAGCATATTAATTTTTTAAAGGAAATTCTTTCAAGTTAGGAATTTTTTTATTCTTAAACTTTCAAGGTTTGAGTCCTATATATTTCCAAATCTCCGAATAAGTCCACTTTCCTAATTCTTTATTCTCCAATGATCTTCCTACCTATTATACTATCTCTTCAGATCATAATCCCATTAAACCCGAAAGAGTTGAAAGACACAAAATTTCCATTAACCCAAAAATCGTCAAAGGCACCGACCAACGAGTTCCATTTGTTCCAACTTACAATTATCTCTGGTCCCCAAGCATGTAACCGGAAGAAAGTTCAGCGGACCGTCTCCCAAAAATCAGCAGCTGAGTCGAAAAGTATCACGGAAGGACGACATCAAAACGAAGGTACACCAAACGAACGTACACCCACATCCCAAAAATGCTCCACCGGAAAGGAAGAAACAAAGGGACCTAACTCGGCCGACTTTGAATATCGACACGAATCTCCACTTTCGAGGAGCGGTACCATTATTCGCGAGAATGGTGTTACCGGTTAAACGTGAGAATCGTGAGAACGGGATGAGCAACGAGGATGAAGCTCGTAGACGACGAGGAAGAGGAGCACAACCGGTAGGCCGAAGATCTGCGGTGCAACGACGAGGATATCACGATCGCGAACAGCAAGGACACGAAGAGAGTCGCTTCCCGAGCGAAAGAAGGGATATCCGAGTCCCCACTATTAAATGGCTCGACTTCGACGCGGAAAGGAGAAGCTTCATCGGGGGCGGTGGAACACTATCCAGCCTCAGTGCAATTTCGACACTCGTCTGGCTGTCTGCTTATCAGGAATTGATTAACGTGAACTACGTGCACTTGCTACAGGACACATTCTCCAGGGGATTTTTGAGAAGACCTTTGAGATCAAACTACGGTATTTGTAGAGAGACTGCTCTTCAGCGTCATTAGGACATGTAGTGGTTGAATGTGATTTTTGAAGGAAGAAAACGGTCTTTTACGAAGAGTTGACTGAATGGGGATCATAGTCGGGGACCATCATCTATCTGTTTGAAATATTTAGTCTGTCAAGGCTGTTCAAACATGACATTTGAGATAATTGCAGAGAAGTATCTTTCGTCAAGGATTTGTGGTCCATGGAGAATGTGAAGAATTAGGACCAGAACTGTTAGATGATTGACTCCTTAGAGGTTGTTGAACATGACAAAGTTTGTGGTAATAATTAAAAGAAGACGAATCTATGTGGAGGTTGAGACAGCTCATGAACGATAAAATACAATTTTGACAATTGGTTAAAAATTTGAGTCCTTGAAGATTGAGTTGGATGAACATTGAGCTTGAGACATCATTGAGGAACTTTGAATCTTGATGGTCGAAGAGTTAAATGATTGCAAGGTTCCTTTGTGTAATTCTTTGAAAGAATGATTACATGATGACTTTGTAATGAACCTTAAGGATTGATGCAGCAGTGACTGACATTTGACAGAACTGCATCAAACTATTAATAAAGAAACCGCATGAAGTGTCAAGTAATAAATGAATGAAAGGAGCAGAGCTTCCCTGAAGAACCATCTTCCAGATATCGATTCATCGAAAGTGTCAGTACAGATCAGAAGCATCCGGAAAGGGAAGCGTATTTTCCATAAAGAGGAAAAGTAATTGCCGAAGAGATGGACTTAAACTCTCGTTCTGAGTGCGTTAACTGCCCACAAAAGAACCAGTTCTGATGAAACGAGTTAATTTCTCGAAGATCGAGACTGGAAGTCGCGCGAGGAACATCGAAGAAACAAAAACGAACGATAAAGGAAGAACCTAGATAAAGAAACTAGAAAGCTTCTGGAATAGAAAATTCTTAAACAACGAACTTCCTCGGATTAGAGGTTTCCGGTGATATTTGTGGAGCACGAACATTCTTGACATGCAAAGTTTCTTCGATACACGCAATGACACAAACCGGCTAGTTATTACTTTGTCAATTAGTCCCAGGAAGTGAAACCGGAAGTTCAAACACGGTAATTCATCCGGTGGGAGAAACAGGGTTACAAGGACAGTCCTTTGATTGCTTTCAGAGAGATGCCGGTCTGTTAATGAATCTTGCGGTTGACAAAAGCTCGGAGACTAATTCCGGAAGTGGAGGAGAGGAAGAAAGCGAAGATCAAAGCGGCGAAAGCGGAGAAGAAAGGAAGAATCGATCGTTTTAAGAAATTTTATGAGCCGTGAAATTCTACGAATGTTCGCAGAGGATTTTCTGCGCGACGTGGGAAGAAGAGAAGAAAATCTTGAGATTTTATGAGGGAGGAGAAAATATTGAGACTTTATGAGGGAGGAGGAAATCTTGAGATTGCACGAGGAAGATGTTAACGATCTCACCGAAGAAAATATACAGTTTTCTTCTTTTACGAAGGCTCGGGTTTCGAAGGTAAGAGATACTTGTGCGAATGTCTTGTGCGGTGAGGATTTGAAGAACAGCTCGAGAAGAGATTAATCTTCGCGGAGGATACGGAAGAAATATTGCAGGTCTTCTTCTGAGAAGAGCCTTGAACATGAAGAAACTTTTCTTACGTGAAGAAAACTTTCGCGAAAAAGAAACAGACTGAGGTGCGAAGAATATCTTGTGAAGAAGAAAGCGGTGAATATTCTGAAGGACTTTGATTGACAGGTTCAGAGAAGAATATTTCACCTTTGGAACACGGACTTTCAAAGGTACGAGTTTGTTCTAATTTTAAGTAATTTATTACTGCAGAGACTTACATTTGCTATATGGAAATTTTCTCACTAGATAAATTATCACACCTTTCTTTGAAATAATATTAACATTTTATAGATATAAGGACACTTAAAAAAGCGATCTGAAAGTTTCTATTCCTAGAAACGTGTCCTCGTTGCATTAAATTACAATAAACAGTATTACTTCGAGTGAAGAACAAGATTAATGCCAAATATAAGCACTCTGAATATGTTACCAGATTCGTAAAATAAACCATTCGCTACCGATATTACCGAAGTTGTAAACTAGAACCTGATAACGCATTGGTGGAGGCACCTAGTTTTATTCGATACGAATCGATAAAATGTCGAATAGAAAGTTGTACGAACAGGAAGCTCTAAAGTTCGCTTATTTATAGTCTTCCAAAGAAAGGTAGTTGTAAAAGTAAAAACGGAAATGAGTCGGAGAATTATGCATATTATTAGAATGTGGTAGACTCTCGTTATATTGCCGTTGAGGAAGTTATTGAGAGTTAACTAAAAAATATTCTAGCAATGACATAACAAATATTCTACGATGACATAGTGTAACTTGTAAAAATATTATGTGTGGAATTAGGTTGCGTAGAGTTGCAACGTGTGGCGATATAACGCGTGGCAATATAACGCACAGAAATCTATCAAGTGATCAAATTTCCAACTTGAAAATTTTCAATAAAATTTAACTCCGAAAGTTAGAAGTAAAAACTTTGTAGAATTGGGTCGAGTAGAGTTGCAACGTGCGGCGATATAACGCGTGGCAATATAACGCGTAGAAATTTATTAAGTGATCAAATTTCCAACTTGCAATTTTTTAATAAAATTTAACTCCGAAAGTTAGAAGTCTAAGCTTTCTGGAATTAGATCGCGTAGAGTTGCAACGTGCGGCGATATAACGCGTGGCAATATAACACGTAGAAATTTACCAAGTGATTAAATTTCCAGCTTAAAACTTTCCAATAAAATTTAACTCCAAAAGTCTAAACTTCGTACTAAAAATTTCTTCACAAACTTCACTTCATTCTTCTTTTCATCACCCAACAATAAAATGTCATTAACGAAACGAAAAGCAAAGCAAGTTGGTAAATGATCACGGGAACCGGTGTTAACGAGCAAATTATTTCATCAGCGTTTTTGCTGCTCAGGAAAGTGCGTGTTAATTGCACCTCCATTAATTACATCGTGTCTAGAAAAAAGGAGTGTTTGTAAACATCTTCACTACAGCCATTCACCGATCATTTCTTCCGTGAAATTCCGATTAACTCGCTATAATTCTTCCACGGAATATCCACGATAGTTTCATGCGTGGTAGAACCGTGACTCGATCGATCGCATTGAAGATGATCGAGAAGTCAATTTTGAAGATGGTTCAGTTTCACCTGTCAATTATAATATCTGTGTCAATGTTTTTTGCAATTCTCTTGTTTGTTTTAAGAGGTTCTTTATTTGGCCTTTTACCGAGGAGGCTCGTTAATGATGACAAAGAATAAAACTTGCGAGAAAGCTGATGACGATTGCAGAACGGTATTTTTCTTTCTTGGAAGAGATCAAGTGAGGAGATTTAGGTAGTGATTGGTTCTATCAATTTAGTTGATGGAAGATGGAAATGTAGATATGTTCTGGTTTCTACGGTGGAAATAGATTTAGAATCTATTTGAAGAGAAACTGGGACTATTGAAATGTAGGAATCGAGGGACTCAGTGTTCTAGAAACACTTGGATGCATCTAGGAACCTAGTAATATATGTAGGAATCTAGGGACCTAGTAATACAGGGATCTAGGAATTTAGAAATATTTTATATTTGATGTATCTACACATGATGTATCTACACAGGTTCCATTATTATCACAAATGCAGATTTATCAATTTCTTCTAATTCCTTCTAATAAAATATCAAATCGTTAGTAATTAAAATTGGTTAAATTCGAATAAAATTTATAACTAACATCGATCACATTAAAGTAAATTGCTTTATTGTCAGAAAATTCGTGGGAACAGCCTTGAATAATGGTTGTGTAATACAAGCAGTATGTACGTACGCATTCACACCTTTTTCGTGCTGGTTAATTATCACGATGAAGTTAATTGGTATCATTCCACGGAGTCAATGTCACTTTTTCCTTCTTCGGCGTTTACGCTTCCTCGAAACTTTCGTTCTCTTCTCGACCAATGACCCCTCATATGTTCTTTTATTCTTCTCATGCCTCTTTTTCAAACTTCATCTTCTAACTCGTTAAAATTGAGTCTTCTTCTCATTGAAAATTTTCTAATAACTATAACTTATCAACTTTCCGTTAGTTTATTATTAAACTTCTCTTCTTCGTACACAGAATATTTTTGCAATTACCATAACTAACGGGACTCCATCGCATCCCCTGCATATCTAAGAATTTTTCTTCCTTACATTTCACATTTCCATCTTAATCAGTTCCATGCATTAATTGCAAGAAATCTTAGTCCGAGACCAAACCAAGATAGCAAGTTACAACCGGATGTTGTTGCATTTTCTTTGCCTCCTCTTCACAGTCTTAAACCAGTGATTCTAATTAATCTTGCATCTATTTAACGAATCTGCTTTGCTTTTCTTACACGATATTCCAAACGCGAATCGATAATCAATTTAATAAATCGCCGAGTGTTTCGGTCGATAACGGTGCTCGCTGCGGAAGCGCTCCCGTTCCTCGATAAGCGGATGTTGCTTCGTAATTATTCATTACGACACGGTGACGTAACGTGATCGATTGTAGGTTAATCGACGGAGAATATCTGATACGATTTTTTCAAGAAAATATTCTGATGTTGGCCTTCTTTGGTTACAAAATTTTATCTCTTCAGACGTTCATTCTTATACTTGTTGTCTTTGAGGAATTTTCTTTAAGAAAATTCATTACATTAAGGTACACTTGAATTTGTTAACAAAGTTCTTATATTCTTGTATATTTATACGTGATCAACTAACAATTCAATCTATCCAAATAAAATATAAATGATCACCTAATAATTTAAAGAATGTAAATGAAACTTGAATGATCACCTAATAATTTAGAGAATATAAATGAAACTTGAATGATCAGCTAATAATTCAATGAACGCAACTGAAACTAAACAATCACCTAATAATTCAACGAATACAAATGAAAACTGAATGATCATCTAATAATTCAAAGAACGTAAATGAAATCTAAACGCATACCTAATAATTCAATAAACGCAACTGAAATCACGAACCAATAACTCAATCGATGAAAGCCTGAAGTAAATGCAAATTGAATATGAGTACATTCACGAAAGGTAATATAGAAATGCATAGAAGAGAAATTTCCAGAAGCGACATTAAGAAGAATGGAGGGTATTAATCAACGGTGTACCCTTTTTCCTTTTTCAGTGATGGAACACACGTCGAAATTGCTCGGACGACATTAACGTCGACAAGCGTCGCGTCGTTTGGCAGCAGATGGGAAAGGTATCTATGGCGGTAAGAAGTGCCGCTATGTCCTACATAGAACCATGGCTGCCCACGATTCTGGGACGGTAAGCACGTTCTCCTATTATAATACATATATCGTACACCATCCGGGAGGTGGTCCCTGAGAATTGACTTTTTTCACCCTTGCATACACCGTCCGCCATGTACGTCTAACGTCCTTCTCTTCTTACCAACCTTCTCGTTATTCTTTACTTGGAACTAGTTTCTTCGTTTGTTCCTCTAATTATAGTACTTGGAATTTATCGCTCGACTTCCGTACTTCTTTCTTATTTGGGATATGATTGCTATTATCGTTTTAATCGGGGACTCCACTTTTCTGCTTTTTTATTTGGGAATGGTTATTGCAATTTTAATTAGTGGTTTGGGTAGGGTGGGTTTGGAACAGCAGAGAGTTTTGGGAATATTTCGTTGGAATTTTGTTAGTACTTTGTTAGCACTTTGTTAGTACTTTGTTAGTACTTGTTAGTACTTTGTTAGTACCTTGTTAATACCTCGTTAGGACCTTATCAATACACTAATAATTTATGTAGAATGCGTAATATTGCTTAATCCACATCCCCTTCTAATAACATCACCAGTATACCATAAACTTCCTTTTTTCTCCTGTCCCACTAATCACTCTCTTAATTCCCCTTTTCCGTATTTCACGGATTAAAATGTTCTTCTAATCATCAACACCGCTAATCGCATTAACCAGGTGCATTTAATCCCTGAATCCTGTTGTCATTATTTTATCTCCAACGCAGGAAGCATGTTACGTTATCTACATACATTAGCTTCTTTTTGTACTTTGTGATATCATCGATGCTATAAAAGAAAATTGATCCACCTCTTCCTGAAAGTATTAATACATGGAATGTTTGCATCGTAATCGAACGGCGAGGACAGTCTGTGTCTTCATTGCTACCGGAAGTCCACGTTCGCGCGCTTACTGCGACAGTTTCGTTTCGATCGAATGCCTCCCATTCAGAACAAGTTTCTCCTTGTACCAAGTGAAATTGCATCAACGTTCGAAGTATCATCTCGTATCGCTTATTATCTCACTGTCTTCTATTTCTTGGAGGCATCATTAATCGATTTACAGATTCTTCGAAAATTATCTACGTTTGATATGAGAATCGAGAAATTCCCATAGTCGAGTAAATTAATTCGCTATTTAAATATCTCGGATACTGTTATCCGTGTTCATGTAACTCTCATATCTTGTGCGCATAATTTAAGTTGTTTCCATGGATTGGTATGACAAAGATCATGTGGATGTCTGATAGGGAATTGGGGACATATTTGGCTACTTTGGAATTTCAGAACTTAGGAAGATTGGAACCTTGAGATTTGGTTGTGTAGGAAATTGAGGACATTAGGGTACCTTGACAATTCGCAACTTTGAAACTTCGGAACCTAGGGATGATCCAGATAGAATAGAATTTTGCACTCTACTAAGAAAATTGTGGAATTCAGCAAAGTTCACAGGAAGTACTGCAACGAAGCTTCCGAATGTCGGCCAGCATTTTTCTATCAAAACGATTACGTCACTCAGGCATCCAGGTGTCCCAGGACGTTCAGATTCACCCAGTTCCCGAGGTGATCGGCCAAGGTAGTCACGAACACGCTTTAGCATACACATATTATGGCGGCGAAGGTTATTCAACCCGAGCAGGATCTCGTTCGTAAGCAACGGAGTAACGGGTTCCCGATGACTCGTGCATGGAGGCGCCTCTCCACCTTGGTGGATTACCCGGTGGCCAGCTGCGTGCACGCGGCTAGCCTTCTCCAACCTTCTCCTCGAGGATTCAGTCAGCCGTGCACCATTGTCGAAAGATCGTCCACCACGACACTCGGTTCCCTTAACTTCTTATCGTGTACACCCTCGCGAATTTTTTCTTGTGAACTCTAGCTCGTTTTCTTCTTTCAGTGCTCTTTCTTCTTTAGTGCTCTTATTTCTTCTTTTCGGTAATCGCGTGTGATTGGTGATTTAATGCGGCTTCCAGAACGTGTCTGAAGATCAGGTAAGATTTTAGGCTCTTCCATGAAGGTTTTCTTCTGGTCCGAAGAAATCTTCCTTAAAATTTGTCATGTAGGATTTTGTTTTCTGGATTTAATTGTTGAGGGCTTACGGAGATTTTTACGGTAGTTCATTTTAGGTCTTTTTGATGGATTGAGAAGTCATGTTGAAGAAATATTTCTTCCCAATTCTGTTGGTCAAATAAAAAATTTCCAAAGAAAATTCTAATGATACTCTGAACGTGTTGGTAGAAGTAGAACATGTCTTCTGACGTGAGTCTTCTGTCTTCAGTATCTATTCAGAAGTTCCTTGTATACTAAAGAAATATTTCTGCCCTACTCTACTCTTCGATTAAATATCCAAAGAAAATTATCAAAGTATAAACATCTTGAAAAAAATTCCTCCCCAATTTTCAGCATCAAATGTTCCTTAGACACTCAAGAATCCTTTCTTCCCAAGCCTCCATCTTTCTCCAAACGTTTTCTTTCTACTCCAAGTTCTCCATTTAACGGAACACATTGTCTAATACGAATTAAAAGATCGAGGAACCTCAAAGGCGACCTAGAAATTCAATAGCCCAAAAACCGCGACGATAGTTTGATACGCTGAAGACGGTCCATCAGAAGAAGACAGCGTGACGGGCCATACATGATTGTGATCAACGATTGTTGAAACGGGCCTTGTTTATCGTTATTCGGAATACATATTAAATATGCTGTAACGGTATGTTGACTGTGATAGGCAGACACACATTCTCGGGGTCATAATCTCACGTTGTGGTCTCAGATGGTGGATAAACTTATGGCATAAATTGGATTTCAGTGGGAACCATCTTCATCTTCATATTACTTACAAGTTTACTAATTTATATCTTTTACAACTATCGATTACAAATTGTCAATCAGGTATCAATTGCATCTTTCAATTATGAGCACAGTTACAAAGTACTGATTAACTATGAATTACCAATGAAGTATTTTCCCTGTTGATACTTATTGATTACCAATGAATAAGCGACACATAAAACACACCTTAACGGTAGTTAAATAGTTAGTATATCAAAGCGTATGCAAACGAGCACCTAAGGAAAGACCGATACATACGGTACCGTTATTGGACATCAATATGACCGAAAAAGAAAAATGCAACGGTAAAAAAGTATGCTTTTACGGAGTTGTGTAAAAACTGACGGCGATTAAATTGGAATGTCAGTGAGCTTCGATGTCCGCTATACGCCCGAAATTATACCGCGTGGTGATATAGCAGTAATAAATTTGATATAATCGCATATATTTGACCCCACAGTCGTTCCGCGTCATAAAAGATCGTAAAGCAATTATCGATTCGACCGACATCGCAGAAGGAACAATCGGTCTATGAGAATCGAATACGAACGATCACCTCGATCAAGACCTTGGCTACGGAAATCCTCGATAAAATATTCGTCGCGTGTTGCTCTTGAAAACCACCTAAGCTCATTGCGTCATTCCTTCATGATTTATCTCCTGTTATATGTTAATTTCATACTGTTTTAGGGTGCACTGTTCATTAACACGTTGGTCGTGTTTTTATTACAGTCAATTTTTATTCAAATCTGTTTTCGATAAAAGAATCTCTTCCTGTATACAAATTTTATAGAGTATAACATTATTGATCCTTCAGAATGTAAAAGAATTTTTCATTTTGGAAAGCAAGAAGTTTTTTGATATCGTTCTCTGTACGTCGTCTTTACGCAACCTTCTTTCGCGAACTCGCTTCACCTTGGCCGGAGGTCAAGGTCGTTTTTTTCGCGAAATGGCAGACCAGTTTGCTGGTTCACTGCTCTGTCATTCCATTCTCGATCTAAATCGTCGATCGAGATCAGGTTCGGATCACTGGGTCGAGGAGAAACGTGCTTCTTTTCTTTCTGCTCCATAACTTTTTCATCTTGTGCTTGCTGATCTATGAACACATTCTGCTTTCAAATTTATTGTTCAATTTCTATCAAAAATTATTTGCGTTTATATGAGGAGTATTGTTTAACCCCTTATCTCTTATGAGAACTCTTGTCTTGCTTGAAAAAAATATTCTTCATTAACCAAACATAATCTCACAGTCTAACATTTCTTGACAAAATATTACAATTTTCGAGATTGTCAAAATTGTATTTACTGAAATAGTATCAACACCAAATTAATTATTTTTGTTCTTTAAATATTTTTGTTCTTTAAATAGTGATTCAGACGAGACACCCTGTACATACAATTTCATAAGCAGGAATAATATTCTCTTTAAGGATAATTAATCGTTTTTGTTCTGTTCCAGTGGGAAAATGCGGATGAAGTTGTTGAAGGTTGTGGTGGTTCTGCTCCTGTCAGGCTCAGGAGATGGCAGGCCACAGAAAACCGGTAAGATTTGCAATTTTTTGCAAATATAAACGTTCAAGAAGCAAATGCGAACGTCGTAGGATGCGTTCATCGAGGAAATGATCGGGAAAAAAGAATGGAAAGGAAGGGGCGGTCCTTCTCTTGAAAATTAGATGCCTTGATCGAGGAATAATCATCGCAACGACACTGTATTTATTTTGTTGCAAATCAGTTAATGAGAACGTTGTTCGCTTCCGTGAAAGTTTCGGTCAATGGGATGACCTGTTTCTAATTCTCGATCAATCGATATGGAACACCTCGTAGAAATTAAAAATTATTTAGTTACATTTCTCAAATTTTTAAATCTTGAAACTTAAAACTCTTGTGAGCATTAAGAAGATTGCTTCCTGTCGTAAAAATAATATCGGATCAATAAAATTTTACGTTCGAGAAATGCATTGCGTAGCATTGACAAAGAGTGCACGCAAATTGCACGTTGCAACATTTCATACAATTTCATCGCCAATTTCTTAAACGATCAATTTCTGACCTGGTATGCATCGACTCCACATTTAACGTTGCAATATTTGGTTGCATAAAGAGAAAGTTACTTCTTTCTTTTATTGTTCTAAGATTCCTTGTTTTAGTAAATTATCTGTCGTTGTATCGATAACAAATTGTTATGAAATTATAATCGGAGCAATAAAATGAAAAAGTTCCTCATGAAGTTTTTCTGATAAGTGCAACGATAAACGTAATGCAATTAGTGCAATTAAATATTTTATCAATTGTATTAATTTCATTACAAATATTTACTGTTCCTTACGTCTCTACATAATCGTTCTTCCAATCTTTCTCAATCATAATTAATAATTTTAATTACACTCATTTCGAACAAACTCTTAATTAAATTTAATGATAACCAGTGAGAATGATTCTATATAAAAATAATTCAACAGTTTCAGCAGAAATGAATGAATTAATTTACTGTATCAAGGAAGTGATTCAATCAAAATTAATTAAAATTAATTACGTACTAATTCATTTGATATACACGACGTTAATTGCGCAAGATATCGTAACAGACATTAATCATTTATGAACTGTTTAATACATATTGATGAATATGTTAATTTGTTCCAGAAGAGTCCATTCAGCTTCATCGAACAAAATCAAGCATGGAGGAATGGCGACCTCGATCCTCCAGCATCCAAAACATTCCAGAAGATAGCAGGTATACGTGGAATTCCGGAAGTAGTAAATTTCCATACACTAATTACCGCTCTGCTATCAATCCCCTTACCAATCGTAATAACCCGATCAAAACTAGTATACCAAGGGTCTCGAATTTCCGGAATTCGCAAAGATCTAAAAATCCGCCATTTTCTCTCGGTAGAATAAAGAATCCACGAATTGTCGATAAAGTAAGATCGAGAGAGCCCATTGAAATTCCCCTTCAGCGTTCTATTCTGAACGAACAAATAATTGTGAACAATAATAGATCTAGAAATGTATTTCACAAAATTCCAAGAATCAAGAGTACACCCTCTTCTAATAAGAGTCTGATAGACTCGAAATTGAATTCAAACGCGACTAGAGTTCCTTCGTCGAGAGTCGTTAAATTAGGCGGACCATCGACCATGACAATTTCCTCGAGAGATTTCCGTAATTCGAATGACAAGACGAGGACGAGCGAGATTGTGAATAATTCAGGGTCCAGCGTATCCTTGGTCCACAATTCAGAACTGTCGGAGAAGCCAGAATTTTCGTCCGATTTCGACAGAAATTTCAAGGTCGAGTCGACAACTCAGTTCGATCACGTCGCGGCCATCAAAAAGATCACCAGCGCACTGACTCACGGGAATGCCAAAAATACTGACGATTTAACCGTACCTCAAAGCCCACCCACCGATTCTAACCGTCGCTGGATCTCGAAGAACAAAACGAAACGTAGACCGGTATCGAAAAGACCCCAAAACAAGAACGATCCGAACCTGAAGAACTGGCCTAATGGAGCCATCGAGAACGCCGACGACTTCCACTATTACGACACGTACACATCTTTGGACGATGATCTGAAGGCTGAAGAGATGGTGGAGAGACCTGTCTGGAAAAAGAACTCCTCTTTCGTTCCAGTCTCGAAGCCCAGTCTTCAGGAAATCGTTCACTGGCTAAAGATCCCTGCGTTCATGACCAATGGTAGCCATATCATCGAGAGTGATCAAAGTAACGGTCCTATTAGCGTTGCATTTGATCCTGTTTATCAGAATCTTGAACCTAACAGACCTGCCAATCCTCAAAATGTTCAAACGTTTGATCCTGGATACCTTTATCCCGTTTATTTACGTCCTGACACCACGGAGGCTCCGAGCTGGATGCTGTTGAAGAATAAGACTGTTCACAATCCTCAGACCCAGGTGTCACAGAACACCGTGGTGCATTTGATTAATATGGATTCGGGGAAGACTAATAGGACTAAAGTGTCTGATGGGTCTGGTAGACCTGTAAGCTCTGATAAACCTTTAGGGTCAGGAGGAGCTTTGGGTTCTAATAGACCTTCAGGCCCTGGGAGACCTTCAGGTAACAAACCTTCCTTTGGTAAACCTTCCTCAGGCTCTAGCAGACCTTCAAGTTCCAACAGACCTTCAAGTTCTAATAGACCTTCAAGTTCCAACAGACCTTCAAGTTCTAATAGACCTTCAGGTTCTAACAGACCTTCAAGTTCCAACAGACCTTCAAGTTCCAACAGACCTTCAAGTTCTAGACCTTCAAATGCTACCAAACCTTCAGGATCTGACGCCGCTACTTCAACCTCAAAGCCAGGTCCAAATGTCCACATAGGTTTCACGTCGTACGACGAAAACAAGGTCCCCGAAGAAAAACCCCAGACTCCCATGGTGACTTATGACCACAAGTGTCCCACAATTCTCATCAACTCCTACACAAGAATCAACAACACCATTCAGAGTAAAGAAGGTTGCACAGACCTGAACATCATCATTAACTCTCAAGTATTCAATACTAACACCTACCAAACTACTTCCTCGCCTTTGGCTGACCAAACTTATGAAGACACTGGGTCTAATTATCGACCTGCTTCTTATTTGCCCCAGAATGATTACAATCCTCCGAAAGATACACAAATTCCCCAGCAAGTGGAGGTTGTACAGGATACTCATATCAGTATTTCAAGTCCAAGTGCAGCGAACGAAGCTTTAGAGGATAGTGCAGGTTCGGTTGGTGACTCGGAAACCGGTCAGACAGGAAGTTCTTCAGGTTCGAACACTTTAGTGAGACCAGCAACGGATACGGGTGTCCCTGATCCGAGTTCTAGTGCTTCTCCATCCTCTTCGCCCACGTTGTCCTCGGCGTCCTTGCCGTCGACGTCTTTGTCCGACGACGACGACGACGACGACGATTACGATTTGACCCCTGGTGGCATCATGGAGTCCATAGCTTCCGTTTTCACGTACTTCACGTTCATTAATCCTTTGCATTATGGATTCTTCAGCATAGCAGCCGCACCCTTCACTGCTATGGCCGCTGGAGTTCTCGGTATAGCCACGTTTCTTTATCCCTGGTTGTTTCCTAGCTCGTTCGGCTTCAGATCCAATAACGATGTTGTGGATAACTTGTGGTCGAACCTTGAAGAGGTGGTTAAACAGTCGATGCATAAGTATGGAGGGTTGAACGAGTGGAAGAGTAAGAGGAAGAAGAGGAAGAGATGAAAGTAGGATGTTTAACTTCTTCTTGGATTCTTGGAATTTTGGAAAAGTACAAGTTGAGGGGCTGATACGTGGAGTTACAGGGTTATTTGACGAATTAAGTGACATTTAATAAGAATTGAAGAGGTAGTGCACTATGTTGTATTTAACTCTTCAGGGCTTGGTGGGAAGATTTATATTATAGAAAATGTGACATATTATTGAACCACCCTGTATATATATTTTTTAACAGCAATATTTTCCATATTGTTATTAGACGTAGATGTGTAATGTCTCGAAGCAGTCGAATTGTAAGATTTTATTCATCTTATTAACGCGAAAGGTAAGGGGATAAATAGTAGACAAATAATCTAATTTCTAGAAGATAAAGTTTAACCTCGCCAATAGTAGCTTTAATACTAAGTAAGTATGAACAGTATTACGAACTCACATTGTAACAATATTTATACCTTATAGTTATTATAAAATCAACTTATAAGTTAAACTATCAACGCATGAATTTTAAGTTAGTTTTAGGGCATTGATAGCGCTTGTGCCAATCGATGATTGTACTTGAAATAAACCATTCAAACGAACAAATTTGTATTCTTATTTTTTATTATTGTATTAGTTTATTGTCATAGTAGAATAGATTTGTCCCCATATATCCTATCCCAATGTCCTAATTAAAATAATCGAACAAATTTTCAAACTTCCAAGTTGACATAAAGGTAAGGACCAATCCTAACCTAAATCTTGATGTCAATCAAACATGTTCCTAAGTTCCACACCAACTAAAATGACGGATCTTCTTTCAGTTCGCAACTCAACGGTACGCAGCGTCACCTGAAGGACCTGCAGAAGATAGATCAGTCCTTGAGAACAGTCGCCACTCAGTTGCTCAACGTGACGAACCCTGAAGAGCCCGCCAAAGTGCTCGACAACGTCATCAAGAAACCTAACACTCCGAAACCGTCTAACAAGAGCGACAGACCGGTCGAAGAGATACCACCCAGTAATGTGCAGTCCATGACCATAGGTTTTGGCAGACCCATCAACTCGAAGTTCAGTTACTTCGAGTCGGGTCATCCAGGTCAAGCGATGGCCATGACGGAGGAGGAGCTCGAACGAGAGATGAGTTCGACGCGTCTCATGTCTGCGTACAAGACCCACCCAACGACCACCGGCGGAATTTCGACGTGGATCCTGCTGAATCCTCCGTCGACCACTGTGAAGTCGACAGAGGTGGACAAAAAGAAGCAGCCGTTCGAGAACGAAATACGAGTCGAGAAGCCAACAACCCTGATGGAGAAGGTGGAGACCACCGAAAGAGTTACTGAGAAGTTCACGATACCTGTTACCACCGTCACAGTCGTCGAAGAAGCATCCACGAAGACCATCTCGACCACGAAGAAAACGACAGAAAAGGTTCACAAAGAGGAACCTCTTCAGAGCACCACCAAGATGCCTCAAACTACAACGAGCATTCCGGAAAGCAAAGAAGCTGGCACCACCACCACGAAGAAGATTCAGCACGTGAGAACGACACCCAAACCCAAGATCGCTACCATGAAGACCACCGTATTATCGAAACCTGCGGGTTCGAAGACGTCCAGGCCAAATCAGCAGGCCAGACCCAAACCCGCGAACAGAAGGACCACCATTAAGCCGGACATGAAAAACGACAACTCATCGACTGCGAAGGTTGAGAAGGTGACGTTCAGGCCCATACAGATGATCACCATCCCGAAGACCAAAGTGGAGAGCACCGAGAAGCCCATGTTCGTCACGAAGATCAAAGCCTCGGTCCTGATGGACCAAAAGACCACCACGTCGCCTTCGGTGTCCTCCACGACGAGCCTCGATGTGACCACCACCTCGAAGACGGCTTCACCCAGCGTGGAGCTCGTCGAGGTGACGATGAAGCCTAAGGTTGGCTCGAAGGTCAGCAACGTGCTGAAGGTGCAGCTGAAGAAGCCGGTGAACGAGTCGAAGATCGAGGAGCCCAAAGTTAACGCACCGGCGGTAGAGAAGGTTCAGAACGTGAAGGATGAAGTGAAGAACGATACCGATAGTTTGGACGCTAGTAGGATAGATCTAATGAAGTTTGATTTTAACCCTGAGCTGACGAAGATCAATACCAGCAGCGAGAGTGTTACACCTGCCACGACTACTACGTCCACCACCAAGAGACCCAGGAACAGCTCGAAGAGGAAGAAGAACAAGGTCAGACGACGAAAACCGGCTACTGCAGCTACTTCTACGACCACGGTTTCGACAACGTCGACGGAGAGCGAGTTGATAGTGGAAGACCCGATCGTCGAGAACGGAATACAGGAGTCGAAGATCGTTCCCGAGACCAAGGTGGCTACCAACTCCACCAAGACCAAGAAGAAACCTCCCTCACCACCATTCGGCATGCAGATCTACAACTTCTTAAGCCGTGAAGTGATGCCTAGCTTCGGTGTGATGTCCCTGGTTGGACTAGGGTTAGGTCTGGCCTCGTACTTCCTGTATCCGTTCGGGGGAACCATAGCTAGAAGGAATTACGAGGTTGAGCCGAAGTACAAGTACAATTTTGACGAGTACGGGGGAAACTATGGGCAGAGCGAGGAGGAGGTTCTGGCTAAGGTTCTTCAGGGTATGACTCCAGAAGACAACAAGTACCCTGGCTCTAAGGACTACGATAATTACTATCGGTACCAGCAGTATGACGGATATGAAACTCAGACCAAGAAGACTGATCAGAGACACCCTTCTGGTTCTCCTATTTACCGACCTGAGAACACTGCGTCGATCTTGAAGTATAGGAACACGGATTACAGGTACCCCGAACCGCAGAGTACTCCGATATACTATGACAGATCTAAACCGGAGTATGTGGGGGGACAATCCGACCCGGCGAATCGGCAGTTCGTTGTGGGAAGTGTCCCCAAAGAGTACCCACCCTACAACGACAAACCCGTGTCACCTACGCCAGGTCAGTTGGCCAACAGCTACGAGCCTACCGAAAGCAGTCAGATGTTCGAGCATGACTTAACGCAGAACTTCAACTTCCCTGTGAACCCTGTCCAGAATTATGGGCAGGTTCAGACAGCCAGGCCTGAAGAGACGTACGAAGAAGTGGAGATCACGCCCACTGCGGTAGCTGTGGAGCATGGACCAAGATCTTTGAAGGTTGAGCATTCCAGAAGGAAAAGGGATTCTGTGATTCAAGTGATTCCTTCGAAGAGGGAACTTGAAGAGGAGGAGAAGGAAGATCTGAGTAACGAGATCCTCAACATCATTGACTCTGCGTTGCCCGAAGAGGACGAACTTAGTAAGAAGAAGAGTGGGCATCCAGACTTCGGGAATCAAAAGAAGAGACAGAATGAAGAAGAGTCCACCACGAAGAGTGAGGCTACGAAAACTAGTACGACGGTGAATGTAGATACTACTGCTTCAACAGCTAAAGTCACAGAGCCCTCTACTTCGTCGACGACAGAAATCGCTGATGATACAATGACGAGTCCCAAAACAACCGAGCAGAGCAGCACGGAGACTGATTCGACCACGAACAAGCCGGACGAGCAGAACGGTTTCACTATCTTCAACTTCGTGAAGAAGATCGCTGAGATAAAGTTCAGACTCGGTTTGACGCTTCTCAAACACGCCAGCGAGAGCTTCGCCAGATATTTGGGCCAGGTGCAGAAGAGGATCAACGGGGACGAGTGAAGAGTCTCTTCAGAGATTGTTATAATGGACTGATGCGACGATTGCTCCGTCGCTTCTTGACAGATGCTGAAATATCTTCGCGTCTTTCAAGAATTCTCGAAGGATAGGTCTTTGCGCGTTGAAGACTTTGTGAGAGTCTGGACACCTGAAATATCTTCCTTGTTTTTGGTGAAGAAAATCTTGATTAGGATGCATATTGGATTGTACACATCTTGCAATGTTTTCTCGAAGAAAAGATGATGTTATTTGAGAATTATTAGGAATTTTAGAATTATTTATTTTAAATTTTCTTCGATGTAAATTTGTTTCCTAATAGCAAGGATTTCTTTCTTATAAAAATAACGAAGATATTTTAGCTTAAGGTACAGACTCATTAACAATTATAATACTCGGATTAAAAAACTCTCTTCATATTTTTTGAACAGTTAACCTCAACATGTTGGACAGATAAAATTTTGGTTCATAAAAAATTATTTCGTTATAAAATAATTTTTTAACCAGGATAAAAATGGGAAGAGGGTTTTGAAAAGACTTCCAGCGAAAAGTTTTATTTTACTCGTCGACGTAACTCCTTTGAATATCCTTCGTTGATACTTATGCTTTTATTTAAGTATTTAAGCGAACGAAATGTAAAGTATATTATAAATAAACGTATAAATAAATAAATAAATAGGTTGTCAACATAGTACCCTGACATATATGTAAATATATGCATGATCAAAATTAAACAATATTTTCTCTATTCCCTATAGGAAGACGTCTGTTCAATAGAATGTAAATTACTACTAATTATAAATAAGTGTCATACTTGTCTCTGTTAATTATATAACATCTCTAAGTTTACTATAAACAAAGAGCAATGAACATTTCATATTTGCAAACTGAAATTTGTTAAATTATTTAAGCGATTCTGTTGTCAATTAGTGACAGTGAAAAAGATGGCATTGTCTTGCTAATTTGCAGTCTGTGAAAATGTGTTTCCCAAGCACAGAATAATTAAACTATAATCTTGATATCTATCATAATAAATTTATCTGCATAATATTTCTTCTTGAATTTTGGTTCATTGCTCAAAGTATCTAAAGATAAAATATTACTATACCTAAAGTGTTCTTCAACTTCAATTAACATTCACTGTACGAAGCTTCAAGTTTCTAAATTCTCTTCGATCATTCACCTTCATTTTTCTATTTTTCACCATATTCTCACGAATTATCGAAGACTTTCTCTTTCCACATTAATTTCTCTATCTTAGCCTGGTATCGTGGGCTTGACTCGTGGGACCATGAATATTCATTACTGAATCATCATAATTGAGTAATCTTGATTGGGAAGCTTGTAAACCCCTCTTTCGACGGCCGAGAATCATTGGAATCATCATCGCCATAGTTGCCGGTAATATTCCTGAAAGAATTAATACAAATCCTCAATATCAATCTTCCTACTTGACACTTTCTAAAATCTTAAAAAAAAAATATGGAAAAGTAAAATTAACCTGCGCTAACGGCAGCCAAGACAGCAGAATTAGACGCTTGATTTCCCAGAGTGTTTCTGATGGGTCGCTTCTTCAGGATCACCGGCAGAGTTTGCTTCTTCATCTCGTACTCCTTTTGACTCTGATCCACGCTCTTGAAGGTTTTCTCGACTTCCAGAAGACCGCCGTGCGATGTCGTCGTGTTCGTGCCGTTGATTGACGGTAACACCGTCAATCTGACCTAGGGAAACGATATTTCATCAAGGCACTGGGTCTTCTAGGCATAATTAATCCCCACGATATTACTAAGGATTAATTATTACTAAGGAAAATAGTCTCAGACAAGTCTCTCCAGAGATTTTTTCAAAACCAAATGCAACAGAATAACAAGATTTGTTCGCTAGAATTTTTTTTTGCACGTGCTGTAATTCCCTTACGCAACATCCCTCTCTACATCAGTTACATCACTATTATCAAATTACGTAACATTCATCTACGAGATAATTGGACAACTAAAATCCTACCCGACTAAAAATCCATAGAAACTACAATGAACTTCAACTTCTTTGATCATCTAGCCTAACCTGTCTCTTTGAGGTCATCACGGTGATCGCAGGATCAGGCTCCTCTCCCTTTACTCGTACGACCCTGCTGCCATTCTGTATCGGATTGGTAGTATCGATCTTCATCGACCTCTGCCTAGACTTCGAGTAACCTCTGTTCGTGGATAAAAGCACCCACTGACCGTCGCTGTTCCCAGGATAACTCTGAGGATGATTGTTCACGTACTGATACTGAGAGAATCCTGGCCTCTCTGTGGTGGGTCGTAGACGGTCGTCGTATCTTGTAGGGAAATCGTGCCAGTCGTTCTTGTTCTCTTCTGCTTGGTTCTTGTCAGGGTATCTGTCGAGGTACTGATAACCTGGTTTCGCTGTTTGGGGTCTGTTCCAATTGCTGGGGAAATTAGCTGGACGGTTGTCGGTGATTATGTCGCTGTTGGGACGGTCCGTGTACTTGTTCCATGATGGCCTCTCTGGCGGCCATTTTTGAGCCTGATTCTCATCAGGCTTCTCTGGATAATACGATGGCCGAGGTGTAGGCTTCTGCCAGGGCTTCTCGTTATTCTCTGGCCAGTTCGGTTTTGGCTTGTCGTACCTGTAGTTATGTGGTTTTAATGATAATGAAGGTTTGGAGATATTAGGGTGTTAAATAATACACCTAGATTTCTATGCTCATTCTACATGCGTACCATGGTTTATTGTTTTCGTAGATCGGTCTGACAGAGTAATCCGAAGCCCACGGTTTCGCCATACTCGGTTTCTCCCATGGTTTCACTTCCGGCCAAGGTTGTTGTGTACTGGGAGTCGCCTGCCATTTTGAAATCTTGCTCTTGGACCATGGAATTGCCTCTAACGTAACCCAGCCATTTCTGTCCTCGTACGAATTTGCTCCGTAATATTTGTTCCTCTTCAGGGTGTCGTTTAAAGTATCGCTTATCTGAAATAAATAAGATGTACCTAGAATTCTACCAAGTAGTTCTAACTCAACCAGGTAGTCCATTAGTTCTACCAAGTAGCCTTTAATCCTAATATCCTAAGAAATCTCACCTCTTCTTCAGACAAAGTAGCATTAGTAGTATCCTCTTCAATTTTATCCCCCTGCGCATATGTAGTGCTACTCGGACGAGTAGTTTGAACATCCACCTCCAGGCCAATGGCCTCCGAAGGTTTGATGATCCTGAACGGATGTTTCTGATACTTCTCGGTGCTGCCCTTGATCTTGTTCGCATACTCCTCCAAGAATTTATTCAGCACATCAGGATTGAACGTGGAGGTCTCGAACGTGTTCCTGGACTCTTCCTCCATTCTCGGAAACTCTTTCATCATTCTCTGAGCATCGTTTTCGAAATGACTTCTCGTCTCATCTTGCAGAGGACTCGTTGTGGCGATAGGCTGCTCGAGTACTCTGGAGTTGTCTGCCCTGGTTTTGAATGAATCCGAAGAGTTCGTTCTCATCTTCACGAAGAACCTGGTGCTGCACTGGCTTCCGCTGAAGGTCAAGGTGACCAGCAGCAGGAAGATCGCTCCTCTCGGCGCCATCTGAAATGGACGAAAGTGTACACTTGCACTTTCGTAACCTGTTCACGTTTCGGGAGGTGAACGGCCACTTCTCGGGTCACTGTACAGGCTGCTCCAAAATTTTCAAAGTATTCAAAGAGATTTTCTTTTTATTATTATTGGAGTGTCAATTTTAACAGACTATTAAGGCGAGATGTAACCCATTTTTTGAAAAGACGTTGACCGCCATTTGGATGACACTCAAGTTTACTTATGCCAGTCATCCACTTTATACTGAAGGATAAACAATTTTGTTGAGTAGCTAAAATTAAGGTAATTAAATCTGATAAAAATAAAGTAATTATTCTTCAAGATTTCTGAAAAGATTAATTCTCTTGCAAACATGCTGTGTAATAGTTACATTGTTGCAGTTTATCAAACGTCAGAATAATATATTTCACAATTACCTTTCTAATTATCTAATTTCTTATCTTTCATAATTACAGTCTTCTGCACTTTCTTGTAATGATGTAAACACTTGTTACTTCATTATTATTTAACCTTATTAAACCATTTTGTGCCAATAATAAATTATTTAACACAAGGTCTACCTTATAAAATATTTTGTGGACAAAAACTTTATACTAACACGTATTAAAAGCTATGCAATCTGATGAATTTGTCATGATCGACTCGAAGCGATCTTTGCAGTATAAAATCGTTCATCGAGAGAAAAATGCATTGTAAAGCTCAAAAGAAGTCACATAACGCGGCACTGACCGTCAAACAGCTCCTTTGTCCTTTGGCGACTTTCGATTACGCCAACACGAAGAATCGTCCAGTTGCAACGGAAATCCGTTAGAAAAGCACCGAACGACCAATGAACCGGAGAACACGTCGACTCGTTCTCGACCTCCACTCTTCAAGGTCTGAGATGGCTCTGTCGCCGAGACGTTGCCCTCGTTTGCTTTTAATCCAGGTCCCCACTTCCTGCTCGCTTGGTCCATTTTCTATCTTTCTCCTAGCCTCACGTTGCACACGTTGTTCACGCTTTGCACACCTTGGTCACCTGGAGAACGGACGCGGTCTGCGTTCTTCTATCGACAAGATCTCTTCTTGTTTCTTCCTTCGTGATAATTGTCCTGAGATCAACTTCGTTCATTTGGATACGGAATTGCCATACATCCACATTTACATCTTTTTCTCTGAGATGCTGATTTTAGAAGAATATGATGATCTTTATATTCTTTCTTGTGGGAAATTATGGATGCTCCATTATTTATTATTTTCTGTACAGACAAATATCTGCACTAATATTCGAGATGTATAAAATTAAAAATCGTTGAGGTTGCTCAAGTTTCATAAATGAAACTTCATAAACTTCTTCAACTCTGACATCTTTCAAGTTTTATCAAATTTTACGTGCTTCAAATTTGTCAAATTTACTCAATGTTTGTCGTACGACATTTTCCAATCTTAAGATGTACAAATACATGTATGCACAAATGTGTGTATGATTGTGATAATGTTATTTCTGCTTGAGTGTAATTTTTTAGAAAATAGAAGTCCAGGAGTTCAAGGATTTGGAGTGCCACCAAAAAAGAGAAGAATGTGATCTTCCCGTTTCTGCTGAAGACTATGAAATAGTCGGGATTCGTCATGCACTAATTGTTACAGCGTGGACAACAGCGTGAACAGCTACCTCGCACCATGCTTTTTCTCCCTGGTTCTGATATGAAATAGTTGTAAACCTTTTTGATCGACCAGCAATTCGCATCGATTTTTCCGTACCGTTTGAATCGATCTAAGACGACGTTTAATCAACGACTGATCCTCGAAACCGGTTTCTTCGAGTTGACACTTACTTTCAAGTTCCTCCACGTTCATTGCTATCGATTCGTACACTGCTAATTAAAGCTTATTTAACCCAAATTTCTTCTTCTCTTTTATTATTACGCACGAAATTTATGAGAACCTGCGATAACTGTGTCCAATTAATTTCTTGCGTATTTTGCTTTTTGCTTATGGCTTTTAGACGTTATCTGCAATCGCTCGATATCAGAAATAAAATATTTCTAGCTATTTATGCTTGAAGAATTTTCGATATTAAAATTTACTGTTACTTGACAGATTTATATTAATTCTTATTCAACGAAATTCTAATTCTATTAAATTGTTATAAGCTTTTGTCTGAAGATTTTAATGCGTCCTACAAGAAATGCAAACGCAGTCTGGAAATCTCGCCGTCTCATCGCGTTTCTAATCGCAAATTGCTCGGGAACACAATTGTACAATTATCTCGAGATCTCAGCGAAGGACCTTCTATTGTTGCAGGAAATTTATTGCCTATTTCGTCCATTAAGGACACCCGGCAAAAAGACGTTGATCCAGTGGTCAACGATCGACCGAGGATCGTTTCGTGATTTTTGCGCTTTCTTGGCCCAGAAACCTGCGGTTCGTTTTTCCCCCTTGCCGTGAAATTTTACGTTTCCGTTTTACGACTTCCGATCCTTGGATCCTCATTTTTGCATCCTCGACCTAGAAACCCCTCGAGAACTGCTTCTCGTTCCATTGTTATTCAAATGGTATTCGAACCATGCATTTCTAAATAAAATTAAGGCTATACAAATCTATTTTAATGGTAGAAATAGGTAAGATCAAAAATCACAAAATATAAAGGATAGATTAAATTTACTGACAGGTAAAAACCTTCGATATTAGCTGCAGATGAAAGATTATGAAAAGACTTAGCAAAGGAGGATTATTTTAATCGTTTGAATAATCCTGAGTGCACAGGGCAATTTCCGTTTTAACTGTTGCAAGATTTTTCTCTTCCGATTCCGGTCTGGCGGTCGGTTGGCCTACTCGAAACCGGAATTAGGTCATTCGAGGCGTAGATAACCGCAAAAAAGAGCATCAGGACTCGTTAGTAAAAAGGAAAAAACAGAAAACGGCTGTCGAGTACAGGGAACGTCTACTTTCGTTGTCGGCTAACTCAAACGGAAGGGGAACACCACGACTAGCGAGTAGGCTTTCCTACGTTAGTAGAAGTCCTTATTCTTCCCAGATTTCTGTTTCATCCTTCAATTATTTAATTAATAGATTTAAAAAATTTGAGAATGTGTACATTTACAAATTTATGAATTTCAGTGCTTAACGAGCAGTTATCTAGCGTCCAGTAACCCAACGAGCACTTATCTAGCGTCCAACAATATAAAGAGTAATGCAACTTAACGTGTTATAATCTATCGTGCTATTATTTCGATTCGCAGCTAATATTTTCAGCGAACTTGCCGTCGAAAGTTCCATGAATCCCGAAGAAAAGTGCGAGGCAAAAAAGATGGCGGTCATCGGGAAATGCGTGTTACAGTTTTTCCTTTTTAACGAGGTAATATTAGCGTGAAAAGTGTCCCAGAATTAGATGAGAAATCTGGTTGAAAACGCGTGTCTGTCACTGATACATCTTCGTGATCCGAAGTGTTCAGCGAGCCATTCCGACACGTTCTCGACAGTAAAAACGTTTCATTATTCCGAAGTGTACTTTCCTTGGAAACTGGTTGTCGATGCGTGAATATCGTCCTGACATCTAGGCTATCCCCTTTCGCGGTTGTCCTTTCTTCCTTATTTTTCCGGCCACTTTCGTTCTGACCGTGACAAGATCGTCCTAATCTTGACATCTTGACACGGTGCTGACAGCTGAGTTCAATGGTGCATGCACATTATCGCATATTACGTTTATTCGAAGCTGGAGGATCTGATTCAGAGGTCAATGATTAAGTTGGAAGCTCCAGAATTAAGTTGAAAGATCAGGGATTGAACATGAAGGTTAAGAATGAAGTTCAAAGTCGAAGGTTTAAGTTTGAAGAATCAGAATAAAGTTCTAAGGTCCAGATTAAATTTAAAGATCAGAAATTAAATTCAAAGACGTACATTTTATTCTGAGGATCAAGAATTAGGTTGAAAGATAAAAGAGTTTAAGAATCAAAGATTAAGTCCAAAGATGAAAATCATGAAATCGTTTAAAACTTTAATAGCAGCATAAAGGAGAGAATCACTTTGAGGATTATTGTTCTAACACACAACATATATTTTTATTTTCACCGCGCCATTAAACACGTTAATTGCAGGCTTGTCTAAAGAGAAGTTGTAGAAATGATTTATCTTACATCTAACGTGCTAGGCATCCTCTAGTTCTCCACATGACCTCCGCCAGAAAACAGGGTCAGACTCTCGCCGCTCGCTGATAAAACACGGCATAGAAAGTTTTTTCACCCCTTTCCGTTCTTTGCTCACGTGCCATGAAACGACGCATAAGACGTTTTTCTTGCAACTCGAAAGAAAAGGGGATTTCACCATTGCCATGAGCAGGTTCTGTTTGGAAGTCTCTCAAATTTCATTTTTAAATCTAAGGTCTCAAATTCTTAAGTCTCCACATTCACAAATGCACAAACCCTTAACTCTCACGTTTTACTATTTCCAAGAGGTACATTAAATCTCTAATCGCTAAAGAACCAAGATGCAGCCTACGTAAGCAATAATCTTCACGTTGCAGCAATTTAACATCCGTCCGAATGCAATAGCCAAAAGAATCTGAAGAAATCCCGAAATGGCGAAAGCATATGATGGAACTAAACGTAGCGTTTGTCAACGGCAATTGGAGTGAGGCCTGGCGATTAGCAGACGAAATCTTCACGCTTTTTAGAAAACCCGTCTCGAGTTAAAGGTGTCCATTCGCCAAAGCGACTGTTTAGTCCAACAAAAACATCAGGATGGAAACAATCACTCCAAACTAGCTTCAAAATGTTCACACTGAAACTTCTACTCTTCGCTCTTTCGTCGAGCTTCTTAGAAGCCAATTTGGACCTTGAAGAAAATCCTACCGAGGACTCTATAAAGTTCTTCGAGGACGATCAATTTTCCGTACAGTCGACAACCACGGAGTCCACAACCATAGAAGCCTACAAGTTGACAGTGTCCATAACGGACAACAACGTCTCCAGAGAGTTTAAGCCTAGTATACACCTGGGTGAAATCAAGGAGTCTCGGATCAGTCCCTTCAACAACCTCCATCACATCAGGTTCGATAACGAGGTGGATCCCACGTCCTATCACCAAGTGAACAGCCTTGGGGTCGTCTACCAACCCGAATACCCGACCCAGGTTCATCAGGTGTCTCTCCAGGGTTCGTCAGAAGCCTCGGACGAAGACAGAAGACAAGTGCACGTGAAGTTCCAGGATTACCCTGCAAATGTACCCAAGGTTTATTACGGGGACTTAGTTCAGAACCAAGGATATCAGCTGCCTGGGAATGTGGGCTACGATCTCGTGGATCAACAGGTGTTTCAGAATGTGGAGAAGCCAGATCAGAACTCGAACTATAAACCTTCGAAGCAGGAGTTTCAGGGATTTTCGAATGATCCACTGAGGATGCAGTATGGATACCAGGATCAGGCTTATGAGGGTCTCAACGCGATTAGGAAACCGTTCGATGGGGCTGTTTATGTTCAGGAGGCGTCGTTTGTTAGGACCAAGAAGTTTCCGTATCCTTTTCTACACCCACCTGTTGGATATCAGGAGGTCGAACAGCATTCGAGCTATCCTGTTAGAGAAAGGTGATTTCTGTAGCTTTTCATTTTTTGCTTCGTGGAATTTTAGTGGATTCTATTTTTTTGTAGTTCATTCTGTGAGGCGAAATCTTTAGTATAATTAATCTAAGATTCTAGAAATTGAAGTATTTTATACTTTAACTAAATTGTATACAATATATACATTTTATAAACACTAAAAAAGTAAAAGTTATTTTATACTTTCAACGATATTAAGCTCTCAGTATCAACATACACTGCTGAACGCTAATAGTCACTTTCGACATAAAAAGAGTCGGACAAACAATGGAAGTCAATTAGCACCAATTGCCTGACTAATTACTCTGGGCTGGTTTCCAGAGTTTCACCATGGAAAAAGATTCTCCATCTCATCGGTGCTTTTTTACCCATCGGTTTATTGGTCGCTGCTTTAACTCCAAGTATCGTCAAAGTGAACAACACAACGTGAGTATTGCTAATTAAAAATTGCACCGCAAAATTCTTTCTAAATATATCTTAAATATGTTTCGAAATATCGAAAGACATGAACGGTGTCATTTTATATATCTGCAATTTTCGAAGTGTTCGAACATTAACGGTAAATAAATGGGTCTCCGCAGGGATCCTAATATCGTTTTATCCAAGTGGAGAGTTGCTGACTTACCTGTGGAACATAAGCAGGCACGATTCAGCGATTCATCGATCATTTGCGAGGAGAGATCGATTTGCGATGTGATCCTGGCTGGAGGAGAAGCTGGGTCCAACGCGTTGCAGAACATCCTTTGGAACATAGCGACGAGGTAATTAATATTCTGCGACTCGATTTTTTACATGATGTTCGATTATAAAAATGACTTAAGCAATGTTTAAAATTATTGATTGGTTGTTCTTCAGTTCTTCAAAAAAATGTCAAAGAAATCATTTTAACATTACTCAAATATAAAGAGCACCTCACTTACTGTACCTTTCTCAATTATCTTATTTGAAAGCAGCATATAAAAATCATAAATACATATGTCCATGTTTAATCATAATGCACATGTTAACAGCATATTGTTTTATTGTCAGAACATCGACAACAATAGCAAAGGAATGCGGTCTCCAAGAAATTTTCGAGGCGGTGAAGAAAAAGGACTGCACGAGCATCGTTTGTTGAGTTCCGAAAACTAGAAAAGTCTTTATCCGTCAAATCCGATAAAAATTCCCACGGTGAAAAATTGAAACCTGCCAACTTTCTCCGATCGTGTGATAAAAGGTAGTAAAACGGTCTCATAGAAACTCGACAGAAAGTAGTTGCACCTTCACCCATATCCGCATTACTCTTATCGAATCAATTATAGTAGAAAAATTGTATTTCTTGAACGAGTGGGAAATGATCAAAGTGATGACTTAAACTATCCCTAATTTTTCGTGGACAACAAAATACAGTAAGCTTGTAATACAATAACTGAATAATTTTGATGAGTACAGGAATGTAATGCAGTGCAAGAATAATGTAATGTGCAAGGATAATGTAAGGCAATGCAAGGATAATGTAAGGCAATGAAAAAATAATGTAATGAAATGCAAGAATAATGTAATGAATTTCACAGCACTTTGCGTAATGCAAACTATTATATTGTGGATATGGATTGTATCCTATTATTATTATTTGGGATCTTGGATAAATTATAAAAGCGGTGTGTCAAATGTAGGGATCGACCACGTGTTACCATATTGTTCGACCGTCGAAAGTAACCGAAAGTTGATCGAACGGGCCAGACACCGTGGAATTATTCGGGAATCGTTGAGAGCGTTGCAGCAAGTGAAAGTAGTCGTATAAGTGGGTCGATGTATTCTATGCCAATTTGACCCAGGAATTTATGTCTCCGTGACGAGATACGGGTTATCGGTGACTGCAACGAGCTTTCACGTGGCATCCGAACACCCGTTGCATCCGCGAAATACAAGTATGATAAATGAAGAAATTTCATACGGGTATTGAGAATATTTTTCAGAAAGTATGTCATTTGGTATTCTATTATTGCTACTTCGATTACGGTTTTTCACACGGTTTTTTTAATATTTTTTTTAGTTTCATTTAGTCAGTTTTTCTCTTCTTCCACTTTCACGCTTCTGCGTTTTTGTCTATTTGTTCGACGTTGTCGATTTTCATGTTTCATCACTTTTCCATTTTCAGGCTTCTGCTTTCTCTGTTCTTTCATTTTACTATTTTAGTTCTATCAATTTCACTTTTCCCACTTTCCTCTGCAAGCTTGTTTTATTTTTCCAAATTCCACGCTTTCGTTTTACGTATTCTCTTTCCATGTGGTCCTATCTTTCCATTTTCTGTGCTGTCACTCATCCTATTCTATTATTTTTCATGCTTTCACTCTCTGTTTTTTTCAATTGATTTAACCATTGTCTCTCTTCTATTTTTTACTTCATCTCTCACAATAGCTCCATTGTATTTTATCTATGAATACCTCGAAATCGAGCGATTTAAAATCCGAAGAACGATCGATACGCGATTTAAATATTCATTCGATAGAGAGTTTCCAACGATGGTGTCAGAAGTTCGAAATAATATCAGCTACACAACATGAATGCATTATGTATGAATTAAAAAAAAGATGGAGAAAGTGAAACGTGTCATACAGTAATTTTACAAATTTTTAACAACATTCCATAGTGATGTAACTAAAATTCAATTTATTCCTTTTCTCAATGAACATCGAGGTGTTTATAATTTACAACTTCTTTTACTGAATACCGGAAATGATCTAAAGAGGTAGATACCAGTCAAAATTTCGGGTCAATCTCCATTTTCACTCGAGGAATTTAAGGACCGTCGGTCACCGATTGATTAATGACCCGCTACTTAATTCGCTGCAACACCAAATTTCTTTCCGTTTCTTGCAATTAAACGCGTCTGTTTCATCCGGTAACATCAGACAACTAATTAGTACGGGTTACCAGCAAAATGTTGTAATTGGCTGCTTTCATTTCCGACCGCTAATTAGCATATTCAGTTGGCGGAAAATTAAGCTAATTTAGTAATTTGGTATGGTTTAACATTGATTCAGGGACTTTTATCTTCAGAGTCTGTAAATTGGGAAATTTATAAAATATTAAACTTCCAAGCCTCAAATTCCTGAGTCGCAAATCTCCCTAGTCTCAAATCTCCCTAATTCCAAATTTCCCAAATTCCAAATTTCCCAAATTTCAAATTTCCCAAATTCCAAATTTCCCAAATTCCAAATTTCCCAAATTCCAAATTTCCCAAATTCCAAATTTCCCAAATTCCAAATCTCCCTAGTCCAAAGTCTCCCAAATTCCAAATTTTCCAAATTCCAAATTTCCCAAATTCCAAATTTCCAAAATTCCAAATTTCCCAAATTCCAAATTTCCAAAATTCCAAATTTCCCAAATTCCAAATTTCCAAAATTCCAAATTTCCCAAATTCCAAATTTCCAAAATTCCAAATTTCCCAAATTCCAAATTTCCAAAATTCCAAATTTCCCAAATTCCAAATTTCCAAAATTCCAAATTTCCCAAATTCCAAATTTCCAAAATTCCAAATTTCCCAAATTCCAAATTTCCAAAATTCCAAATTTCCCAAATTCCAAATTTCCCAAATTCCAAATTTCCCAAATTCCAAATTTCCCAAATTCCAAATTTCCCAAATTCCAAATTTCCCAAATTCCAAATTTCCCAAATTCCAAATTTCCCAAATTCCAAATTTCCCAAATTCCAAATTTCCCAAATTCCAAATTTCCCAAATTCCAAATTTCCCAAATTCCAAATTTCCCAAATTCCAAATTTCCCAAATTCCAAATTTCCCAAATTCCAAATTTCCCAAATTCCAAATTTCCCAAATTCCAAATTTCCCAAATTCCAAATTTCCCAAATTCCAAATTTCCCAAATTCCAAATTTCCCAAATTCCAAATTTCCCAAATTCCAAATTTCCCAAATTCCAAATTTCCCAAATTCCAAATTTCCCAAATTCCAAATTTCCCAAATTCCAAATTTCCCAAGTCCCAAATCTCCCAAATCCCAAATCTCCCAAATCCCAAATCTCCCAAATCCCAAATCTCCCAAATCCCAAGTCTCCCAAATCCCAAATCCCCCAAATCCCAAATCTCCCAATTCCCAAATCTCCCAGCCCCCCAATCAAAAATTCCCCATAATTTGCAGCTCACAATTACTCCACTAACCACATCACTAGAATAAACGAACTTCGAGAAACGTAGAATTCGTCGTATTTAGGATTCTCAAACGAGGACAGCTGAAACGAGTTTGAATTTACAGAGGAATACTGTTGTAAAGAAAGTTCAAGCAATTATGCCTACTTATCTCCAATTAGCTCGATCTCTTTCCTAATAAACACACTTTCGCGAAAACGTTGCTAACCCGACGTTTACAACGCGAGATCGAACGGCAACGAAAGTGAGCCACTTTTTGTTCACCGTGGTTCTACTTTTGCCGTTTAAGCATCGTGAACGATGGATCGCTCGTAAAACGGAAGAATAGCTCACGGTTTCCGGTCAGCGCGACAGATGCTGCACGCAGTTTTACAATTTTTTTGTCTCCTTCGAGGAACTGTGCCAAGATGGCTTCGACTTTTCAACGGAAAACGAATGAAACGGATGAACAATGCTCGACAGCCCTGATTAGGGTTTCCGGGACACGGACATAAATCTTTTTCTTACATTTTGCCTGTTCCGATCTTTTAACCACCAGCGTGGAAGATGAACTTATTGATCACTTATTTATTGATGGGTTGCTAACTTTGCTATTTATTTAGCTGTAGTTTAAATTAATTACCAATACTAATGTCTACTGCAAAAGATACTTCTACATTATTATTAAAAAGTTAACGAAGAAAGGAATGTAAGACCCCGGCAGGTCAGAGGCCTCCATACTAGTCCTACATTCGACTGTCAAATAATTCGACACTTTCACTCTTCATCTAACGTTAACTTTCTCCGCACAGCATAATTAAAACGACCCGACGACCCCTGGAATTCGGTACGAAATTAATGGTTATCATCGAGAAAGCAAACAGAGTATATTTATACTATTATAGATATATCTGTGGATGTAATATAGATACTATAGTGCATCCATACTGTAGATCAACGTGGGTCGATCGTCGTGGGTTCTTCGAGGTATGTCAAGGAAAACGAGTGTGCAACGGACGTCGAACGATATTGGAAAACGTTGAGGCCTTCGTGATCGTGTGTGAACACAATGGGTCGCGTACGTGTTCATAATTTTTAATCGGGCGAGTCACGAGGCCGTCGAATTCTAGCGAAGGACGTTGATCTACCCACATCGCCTATGAGCAATTATAGGGATGTGGAAATACAAAAATATTATCATTCATGAGGAAACGAGTATAACCTGTATGCACACAGTACACATAATGTATCACATAAATAGTTAACCAATGAACAAATATATAGATAACCTAACCTAACAATTATATAGATAACCTAACCTAACAATTATATAGACAACCTAACCTAACAATTATAGCCTAACCTAACAATTACAGTACACTTTCTTCCCCTGTGCCACATGTTCGCCCTTGAGCAGCGAAAGTCGAGAGCCTAACTGTCCCAATGGGTCACCGTAGCGCGAAATCACTTCCCATAACATGGAGCTAAGGTCGAGAAAGGTCGCGACACGGTGTATTCAGCGATACTTTCTTTTTCTTGGAAATGCCGTTTTCAATGTATGCCACCAGGCGAGGATAATTCGTTCACTTTCGACAATTTTTTCATGGATACCATGTACGTGCATGGACGCTCACGTGTAAGTTGTATGGTTAGGTTAGGCGAACGGGAGAATCTTGTTTCTCTTTCGTCGTGATTCTGGTTCTGCAGGGTGTGAAAAAAAGTTGTCTTTACTTGGAGGAAAACGCGGTGGCTCGATGGGAATCGCTTTCTTTCGGGATTACTGAAATTCCTATTATTTTTATTTATTGATGATACTACTATTGGTCTTGTAGTTATAATTGCTGTATCGTGTACAATGTGGCAATAGTTACATGGCCTTGATATTACCCAATCCTAATATGTCCATAAATACTATTGCTTCTATTGCTACATGCTACTGTTAATATTACAGCCATTGCTGTTGTCACAGATTAGATATTACCAAATCTAGTATATCCATCGTGAATATAAATTATACCTATCGATAGGCACTGCTGGTAGTAGCATGACACTGCTACTAATATTAGTGCAATTATAACTATTGTCAGATAGTCCTGATATCACCAAACTATGACTACATCCGTGAACACCAATCGTACCTATCGGTACACAGCACCGCCATAATTAAGAACATCGGTGCAATTACAGCAAATACCGGTGCATAGCACCATAATTACTGCAGGTTCCGTGACAGTGGTATCGGTATAGAAAAAGAGCGTGTAACCGAAGATGTGGTGCAGGCAGAGCAAGAAATTACGGCGGTTGTGCATCGTCGTTGTCGTCGAGAGCCGATAGACTTTCACTGGCAGGTCCTTGAACCCGATGTACTGGCACCTTAACCGCCTCTTCCGGTTCAGCCCCACCGGGTCGTCGTTCGTGAACTTGAAAACCGGACCACTCGCCGTCTCAAAGTTTCGCGAACTCTCGTTTCTCGAGAACCGTGTGCGTCACCCCCTTCGAAAGCTTGCACAGCTGTTGCGAGAAAGTGGCGTACCAAATCGAAATGAAAAAGTGATTTTCCTACGGCGATGGTTCGAAGAATATTGTTGGGTATTGGGGACGTATTTTGGGAGTTGGGAAGGCTGAGGAGTTTGGGACTTGGGAATTTGGGGATTTGGGGATTTGGGGATTTGGGGATTTGGGAATTGGAGGATGTGGGAATTTGGGGATTTGGAAATTGGGGGACTTGGGAATTGGGGGACTTGGGAATTGGGGGACTCGGGAATTGGGGGATTTGGGAATTGGAGGATGTGGGAATTGGGGGACTTGGGAATTTGGAGATTTGGGAATTGGAGGATGTGGGAATTAGGGGACTTGGGAATTGGGGGATTTGGGAATTGGAGTATGTGGGAATTTGGGGATTTGGGAATTGGAGAATATGGGAATTGGGGGACTTGGGAATTTGGAGATTTGGAAATTGGAAGATGTGGGAATTTGGGGATTTGGGAATTAGAGGATGTGGGAATTTGGGGATTTGGGAATTTGAAGATTTGGGAATTTAAAGATTTGAGGATTTGGGGATTTGGGTACTTAGAACTTTGTCAAATTAAAAATGTAGAAATTGTAAAATTGGGAAACTTGGGACTTAAGGATTCAGAAAGTTTCGAATTTCTAAGTTTAGCAATTTGGCATTTGGGAATTTAGAAAGTGCGAAATTTGAATGTTCACTAACACAAGACTTAGAGATTCAGACTAATTCATAGCTTTGGTACTTAGAAAATATAGTACTCCACTCGGGTTTCAAAATTCTATGCAATTCTATACAAAATTCTATAACAACTCCAAAGTTTGATAATACAGTAATTTGAAGAAGTCTGAGGACCCAATAATTTGGGGATAGGGTAGCAATGTAATAACCTAGACGTGGTAATTTAGGAATTTAGCAATGAATTTGGTAATTTGGGTATTCGGTAATAGTGGAATTTAGTATCGGAAATGTTCCGATTAATCGACGAGGATGCCGAACGTCGCGGCGCGACGGAAGAAGGCGAAGGCGAGCACGGGAAGTAGGTCGTAGAGAAAGAAGTGTCGGTCCTTCGTCGGAGACACGAGGAGCCGCTGACTGAGCGCCTTCGTCAGTCTCGCCAAGATATTCCGGGAGTCAACAGGTGCGTAACAGTGGGTCTCTGCACGCCGAAATCTCTTTCCTTTTTTCTTCCCTTAATTCTTCCAATCGATTGCTTCGTATCATGCGGATTTGAGACAAGAAACCACGCGATTCTTTTCCCTTTGGACAACTGCCTAATCGGAAAAATGGACAAGATGCAGGTACTTATCACATTTAATATCTTTAAGTACAATTTTTTATTTTATAACATTTTTGAAGAGGTTTCAAGGATCAGGAGTCAGGCTTTAAATTTTCCTCTTCTTTTTCTCTTCCATCTTAGATGTCAATTATGACTCTAATCGTGTGTCAATTACGTATACCTTAAGACATTGAGACAATAGACGCATTGTTCCACAGTCGAAACAATCAAATCTACCTCGCAATTTACATTGTTTTTTTGTCACGATGTTTACTGCAACGTGTAATTAAATGGACAGTTAGCTGCAGTGGCTGAAAGGCTAACTGTTCTCTTAGTACGAACATAATTGTAACAAGTGAAAAAAGTATCAAGTTTTACGGAAACTGTGATCGGGAATAACGGAATGTATAATTTAGTGTAATCGATTAACTTATACTTCTTTCAATCGTGTTTAATTTTGTTTCAAAAAGTTGTAATAAGAGTATGAAATTGTAACTGTTAATAAGAAATTAATTGAAGGCAATTAAGAGAAGTTTCCTCTCAGAGAGGATTTTATAAAATATTGATAGCAATTTTTGTTACCGCGTCAGATTTATGGTCCTTTTTGTCTTCATTCAGATTTTGGTCGTTCCAACAAATTATGATCCTTCTTCGAATGCTTCGAGCCTGATTTTTGACCATTTGCGTAATTTCAGGCAATTTATTTCTGGTTTCCTTTTTTCTTTATAATAGTCTCTTCTGCATTCTTCCTTTTTTCTCCGGATTTTTCTGCATAGGTAATTGTGGAAGATTAAAGGTGCCTCTGAAAAACAACCTTCTGTTTTTATATAACTATAAAATATGTTTTTCTTCATGGTCAGGTTCCTCTTGGATTCTTCGGCTGTTAGAACATCTTCCTTCGGTTACTCAACACATTCCTTCCGTTTACTTTCTCGGGAGTCGGACAATTTTTGTTGAATAACATTTCGACGGATTTGTAAAACGTTTGACCTGTTACGTTATTGCTTCGTACTTCCGTACGTTTCTAATCGAAGTTATTGACAATTCAGATTTTACGATGAATCTCTGACACATGTTTTACAAAACATTTCTACATCTTCGATGTTCATTTTTAATCTTCTGTCTTCAATGATACAATCATGGCAGAAAAAATTTTTTAAAATAAAACAAATTTTTAGAAAAATTATAATGAAAGTCATATAAGTAATTATAAAAAGATGCAGTGAAAATTTGAAAAAAATTAATGATGCAGACGATCAAAATATTTATACAGAAATTATTAGAAAGCTTCCAACAGTAATAATATTTGCGTAAATATTATCAGAAAATTTATAGTGGAAATCGCAAAAAAATTTGCAATGAAAATCGCAGAACTCGAGAAAATTTCAGTGAAAATGTTTACGAAGTTACAAGGAAGATTGCAGTAAAAAATTAACAAGTGCATAGAATAATTCTTAAATAAAGTTACAACGAAAGTCGCAAAGAAAGTTCTCGTAAGAAAATTTCTAAAGAAACCGCGACTTAGCAATGCAAATGCGACCTACAAGGAAAGTTTCAAAGTAAAAAATTGCAGCGATTGCGCCGAAACGAAAAAACCATAAGTGTCTCCGGAACAGAAAAAGATGGACAGCAACGACGTTAATTGCAAGAGAATGAACGCGTGTCCGCAAGCTTTCTGGAGCGGAAATGCAATGGGACACGGATCGGGGCCATCGTAGTCCGCGTGGATCATGCACTTCCGTCGATAAAACGCCCATTAATCGCGTATCGTTCATTAGTTCGACCGACCTTACAGTTTTCATGTTCCCATAAGCCTAGTAATTCACGAATCACGTCCGACTTTATGCTTCAACTACTCCTTTACGAGCTCGCGATTAAACCTACGCTCATCTTAAGATCAAGATTTCTTCTCCATTTTTTGTTGAATTGGAGTGGAAAGGACCCTTTAGGGGAAGCCTTGGTCAATTTGGAAAGTTAAGATTTGGATCCTGGAATTTATCGTGCATTTTTTCTTTCGATGTGAAATGATTTAGTGGACTATTATGAGAATTTTTGGGATTCGTTTTTTGGAAGCCTGAGGATTTGCAATTCAGAGTTTTGAAATCACAGTCTCCATTAATACAAATGATTAAATGTATAATTTGTACATCTTTCATCTATTTAGAGAATTGTCAATTTTTGTTCCATGTCATAATTTTGCATCTGAGTTCACTAACTTGTTCTTTTAAAAATTTCAAGTTTCAACCTCCTCAAATTTCTTATATTATGCTATGAATTAAAGTTTCATATTTCAAAATTTCTACATTTGTAACTTTGTAAGTATTCGAATTACCAAGCTTCCACATCGTGAATTAATCTTGATTCACACGCTGCACTTATGCCCGTGATCGACAGGCATCCATCAAAGGTCTGGACCAATAATCGAGTTCCATGAACAAGTGAAATGGAACGACATGCTTTCCCCGGACTCCAGTTTACATTCGTATTCGAAACGATCCACTTTTTCCATTCTAGTGACTTTCGATCAACCGGTAATGTCCGATGAGAAAATAGACCTTGATTGTTCGCCTTATCGCGTTCACGGAAACCCCCCTTCCTCTTCTTGTGAGAGGAAAACTAATCAGCTGAAAACTAATACTGACAATTTTCAATATTCAAAATAACGAAAGAAAAATTTTGGAGACAATCGAAACATATTGCAGCCATTTTGAAGACTTCCTTCGATCGCAATGAATAATAGGAGTCTTAATAATAGAAAGTATCTAGTCACACGGTTACTGCATCGCTATTTTCTAATCCCGGTAAAGAATGCCGGCAATTTCTTCGAGCTATTAAATTTCTCTCGCCATGGAATCTCTCGATTCCTCCCATCGTTTCCTGCATCCTAAGTGCTTACAAGTTAAAAATCTGCTGGAATCAGAAATTCGTAACAGTAGTAACTTGTATTTTACAAGTTTCATATTATACACTGTAGCGTTCAATTATGGATGGATTTTTATAATCATTAATTTGCCTCTAAAAGTAGGCTAAGCATTAACCGATCATCAGGTTCAATTTAGATACAGCTACGGTTTCTAAAACCGTGTAATAAAAATAATTAACATGAGATTATGGAGAGGATGTTACGAGCTAATGTAGATATCTCCGATCATTATTGAACTTTAAGTATAATTAATTTGAAAGTAACTCTGGATGAATCTAAAGACTTCCACAGAAATCGTACCCATAGTCCACTTTAAATTTAAGTCAAATTTCAGATTTAATTTCATTATTTAATTCATTTCAAGTTAATCACTCAATTGCAAACTAAAATCGAAAAATTAAATGCAGATACTTTTGAGGTTATGTAACACCGAAAGTGCTAAAGATTTTACTACAGTAATAATTTAATAAAAAAATTGATCAGTTTACTAATTTAAAATCGTTAAAATAATGCACGATGTATCTTCTTCCTCGGTGACAGCACTTGAAGGATTTTTAGGGTCACTTTCACTTTTCGTGCCGTAGCACCGAATAAATTACCGACATGAAATTCGATCGAGGAATTTAAGCTTCAGAACGATAAGGTAAAATATTCGTCCTACCAAAGTAGAATTTAAACGTCGAATGAAATTGTAACAGCGTAGCAATTTGCGAAGCACGCAAATAAATTTGAATAAAAATTCAGATGTAGTCGTGAGCTGCATAATATTGTCGTCAGACGTTGAGGTATTTTTCAGTCGTCAAAAATGTTTTTCTTACTTGGGAGCTGGGCAGGAATTTATTCAAAAGAGAACCTGTTCTTTGCGGTCTTTGTGTTTTTCTTTCTGAATTAATAATAGTGAGTCTGACCTACAATCTCGAGTACTAAGATACTGCAAATAATTAAGTATATTAAACTTGATGCATCAAATAATTATTTAACGTCCATTCATTTGTTCCAGGTAATATTTTCCCTGGCACTGCTAGTGGTCCTCTGCAGCATCAGCAGCGCAGACCTCCCCAAGCCTAGTTACACCAGAACGATGCTAAAAGTCTCCAGAAGTCTTCCAGGAGAGACGGAAGAGCTAAAAGTCAAAACGAGCGAAGGAAACATAGCGACGCTCATCGTCAAAAGACGAGACAGGGCCAACTCCGAAGAGTCCCAGAAGCACGTCGAAAAAACGAAGAACATCTCAGACTCGAACGCAACCAGAAACGAGTCAAAGACAAAAGAAGAGATCCGAAAACTCGAAGAAGCTCACGTAGAGCAACTCCGAGCCAAGTTATCCGAGTCCGACACCCAAAGAGACTTCACGAAAATTGCAAATGTGTCTACGAACGAGAAGGTTGACGCGAATGATCGATCTACCAGCGACAAGAACATCGATTACGGGAACTGGACGCCTCTCGGCATCGATGGAAGAGCTGTCCAGTTGCAGGAATCGACTACCGAAGAGTACCAAAGCTGGAAACCTCTTCCTAGCAACCCGGAAACCATGGAACGACCGAATTACTCCAGGTTCGACTCCTTACCAGCCGGTACTCTTCTGCTGCCACGACATTTCCAAGACAGGTCGCAGAGAAAACTGAGCGACGAAAGCGACGAGAAGCTCTTCGCGTTCTTGCCTCATCAGTCTACGAGGACGAATATCGGCGCGAATCTGTCGAAGAACAGAAACGCGAAGAACGTGCCGCCAGAAGTGATTGTCAGGTCGGAGATCAATGTTAAATCGAGTCAGAAGAGGTCACCGATGACGATGGACAGGGATGGGACACCTGTGATCCATGGACAGAGGGTGCCTGATGAACCTATTGATCAAATTCAGACTTGGAGAAACGCTAGGGTGATCAATAATAAGTTGGTAGCAGATAGGGGGTCTGGAAGTGATGTGGATGTGTCATCTAATTTCTTTCCTAGCGAGAACGCGGATAGGCAGAGGTTCGAGAGGTTCTTCAAGAACGTTAATCGAAGGTAGGAGGTTATAAAAATTACTTATGTATTACTAAAATTACTTATGTATTACTTATGTATTACTGCATGTTAATTAACTACCATACAGTAATTGTTAACTACATTTCAAGACCTTACAAACTTACCTTATAAAGAACCAAGTACTAATCAACTACTAACTATCAATTGACATCATCGAACTATCAAGTGACCAATACTAATAGCAACTGAACACAGGTATGGCAAGGACAGCGAGGAGGAGGGCAAGAACGTGTTCTTCGAGTGGGACCCCAAGAACTACAAGAACGAGGCCCTGAAGGCGGAAGTGTACGAATCCAGGAGCGACAACTTCCGAGCCAGCACTCACAAGAGGATGCTGCACCCAGACGGAGTGACCGTGTACCCAGTGTCCCAGCTCTACACTCCAGAAAGTCAAAAAATCGCACCGGTAGCGCTGAAACCAGGTGCCCGAGCACCCGTCCTGCAATACGCCCACCCAGAACTGGGTGTCCAACCCGCGAAAATCGTGAAGAACGAGAAGAGACGACCGGACAACTTCCCGGAGAATCAGTACTCCTTCACGGAACAGAGGCAGAAGAAGAAGTACGTCCTCAACGACAAGAATATTGTAGATACTTACACTACAAAGAACTACTACCCGAATCAGCATTTTTATGGTCTGAAGAGACCGAACGACGCGCCGTTTTGGGTGAAAATCTCTGAAAACCTGAAGAGTCAGTTCTCTAACGGTGTGGAGAAGGTGTCTCAGTTTACTAGGCCCGTTATTGACCCTCTGGTGGAAGCTACGCACAAGATCTCGCAAAATCTGGGCCTGTCCAAGGGCAAGGAGGCTCAGGACAAGTTCGACACCGTCGCTTCAGGAAGCAGTATTCTCATTCCGGCGTTGGGACTCGTAGCTTCCGGTGCGGCTCTCGGAATAGGAGCCGTGGCGGTCGGAAGGTACCTGGATGTGGACGTTCTCAAGCGATCTGGCGAAGGTCTGTCAACGGAAGTGGAGTACCAAAGGTCTCTAGACGCTGCACCACTTGTGAAGGCACTGAACGAGCAGGGAGACGGGACAGTGTACTTTCTGGAGAAGATGGAGCCACAGGAGCAGAGAGATAAATCGAACGGTGTTGTGATGATCGTCCAAGACCAGAAGCACGAGGATAAAACGGGTCAAATAGCGAATAACAGAAGAAAACGAAGCGTGGACTACCTGGACATCTTCCAGGCGGAGAGTAACCTGAAAAACTTGGTGAGGAACAAGCGTCTACAGCGAAAAGGGGCGGATTCGATCAGTGAGATCGTGGAGATCGACCTTCCAGCTCGGCCAGAGGGCCACATCGACATCACAGAGTTCCTGATCCCTAGAAAAAACCAAGGACACAAGAATGGAGATATTCTGATCGTGGAGGATGGATCGAAACCCTTTGAACTGTTAGAGAAGAAGCTAGCCCCTGACGTGGTTGACAAGAACAAACTTGAAGATGCGTCCACATCAACAAAAGATTCGATAGTGGACGGAACGAAGAACTCCGTAGATGGAAGGGACGAGAGACGAAAAAGGAGCATCGAGATCGACCAAGAACTCGAAGACGCTCTTCAGAACTTGGAGAACTCGGAGGTGGCCGAAGTGGCCCACACCGATGGCGACTGGACGAACACACCGTGTGCTAAAAGGCTATTCTGCGACGCTATGATCGAAAGGGGACCAGACGCGGTTACGTTTATGGAGAAGAAAATGGCCGCTCTTCTGGGTCTGTGAGTATCGACCGTGTGGGAATAGTTTTTGCCGAGTGGAAAATAGATTCGCCAAATGGGGGATGCGTTACAAAATAACAGGAAGACCGTTGTTGCGTTCACTAATGATATAACGACACTCTAGTTAGCATACGGTTATGTAGCTGACTATGTTTGGATAATGGGCTTTCGTTTTCGCGGATGAGGAAATGGTGAGGAAAAGTCGTGCGAGACGGATTTGGTGTTGGAAATGCTGAGGAGTGTTATGAAAGGTTTTGGACTACGAAACAATATTGATACTTTACCAATTAGCACCAATTAGTTACCGTTAACTAGTACTAATTACTAGGCATCGAGTTGCATAGTTCCAACTATGTAATATTGTCCTAGTAAGTTGTGAAGTACTAATTGTGAGTTAAAAATGATCAATTACTTAGTAACAAGTTTGACAATTCTCAATAAGCAATTACCAAATCAATTAGAAATTATCGATTACTAAATACCAACCATCAACTATGATTGTATGTTAATTTTCAATCATCGATACATTATTAGCAGTCAAATTGACATAATCATTAACAATGAATGCCATCGACACTGACGAGTTAGAATTAGAAAATCGATTAGGAGAAAGGGGATCGTTTGATCAGGCCATTGATTTTCTATCGGGCCGATGTACTCTCAAATTTTTCTCAGCACCCATGCCTCGTAACGAAGCGTACATGTGTACACACGAGTGTGTGTATGCACAAAGTGAAACTGTGCTAAGAGGTAAAAGTCGAATCAGTCAGTAGGACGTCGCCGGCGAAAGCTGGAAGAAAGTTATCTGTTTCTCGCTATGGTTCCGTCCAGACTGGTCGAAATGTTCTTTGACTTTTGTCAAAGAAATGTTCTCTGACTGTGTTTCACCCTTTGACTATCATGCAACCATCTATACTGAAATGTTTGAAATCTTTTCCAGTATTATTACTGATAGTAAATTGATAGTAAATTGATAACCTAATTTTAGATAGCAAAATTGATAAACACAGTTGGAGTTAAAAATGTATGGTTATGGTATACGGTGCACTTTAGAAAGAGTTACACTGTTAGAATATGTAGAGAACAAAGAACTGTTACTTCCTAGTGACTGGTGATTCATCGCGCACATCATTCCAATTTTTTTCACCTCATGATTCAACTTTCAAGTTCCAAACCAATTACCATAGACCGTTAGTCATCAATTATCGATACAAGCCTTTCTAATCAATTGCTGTCACTGACTCTTTAATTGGGAGATCGCTATAATAAATCACACCATGATTTGTACATGAACTGTTACACTTTTTAACATTTGTACTGAACATAAAAATTCACCATTATATTCACAAATGTCGAAATTCCCAACTTTCCACAAGGTCTACACATCCTCTCGTTACATTGCAGGATTCAACCCGGAGCAGCCGTCCAAGTGTCCAGTCATTTCCAACAGGTGATGGACGCCGTAAGAAGACACGACTGTTCAAACTTTTTGTGTCCCCAGGCCAGGCCAGGCAACGTCTTCTTCTGAGTTGAAAGGATTCATCCTAACTTTCCTGTGCTTCGAGGAAAGCGGAACTGATAAATCAGCGTTGATTTCACAAGCGGTGAAAGCGTTCGCAGCTCGAGCTGCTCGGTGCTTTCGTTTCGATTCGCCTAATGTTGTGATTAATATTGCTAATACTGCGATTAATATCGCAGCTGGTTATCGATATTCTGTCGATCATGACCCCAGGAAATATTACCGTAGTTATTAAATTTCCTGACATTGAGTTATACTTCAAATATTTGGAAATTAATTAAAAATTAATCTTACTTGTAATTTTTTCAACACGATAATTAGTATAGTAAAGCAGCGAATCAAACGAAATCCGATTTCCCGCCAAAACTTTGTACATATCAACCTATTTAACGCGCAAGAAATCTGTACTTTAAGAAACTAGGTTTAGGCGTAGTTTTAAGTGATTAGTATAAACGAATTTGCACTAATTTCCAGTTTTCTTCTCGAATATTTTTTCATTCCTTTTTATTCAACCACCGAATTGAAAGAACGAGTCTATTTAATCGGTTCGCATCAAATATTCGATTTATCAACGCGTGCTATTTAAGGATATTTATTTAGTTCTTTAGTTGTTAATTGCGAGGACATGAGGTATACGATATCAATGTATAATCGTACGTGTACATTGCTAATAAATGTTGTGTTTGTTTTCACAGTATTTCACGGGACCACTTAATCCTATCATTGTAAATAAATTATACAACAGTTACATGATGTATGCGAGAGAAGAATTTTGTCATGTTTTGTACACAATTTAATGTTAATGAACTAATTTATCCAATCAAAAATGTATCTTCTTTTCCTCCTTTAATAATTTTGTTGTAAGGAAATTCTAGATATACTCACAGAATTTAATCCCATAAAAATTTTTCCTTTCTAAAAATTACTCTGAACATAGAGAACATCGGAAGCCACAGAAAGTAACAAGTGATAACTACTGACAAGTAACAAAGTTTCAACCACCCTCTTAAACGCAAACGACCCCTCTAATTCGCTAAGCAGCGTGAATTATTCACCGAATGAAACAGAAATGTTCTCCATACGATAAACTTAACTACACTTAGCAAATCGATAAAAAAGAAAAAAGGGAACAATTGTTCCACTTGTTATGAACGTATAACTACGTCCATCGTCCCTTCTTAACTTTCAAACATTTCATGTGGAGGAGGGGTGGTCTCTGACTTTTTTAAAGCATACACTTCTCTCCCTAGAAGAGTTTCATGGAAATTTTTAACTGCCATTTGATCGTGTGGCGCGAGTGGATGAAGAACAAATGGACGATCAGGGTACGAAAAGAAAAGATATTCTGGATACTCAAGTTCCCAAATTTCTACATTCTTAATTTTTCAAATTACCAAATTAGTATATTTCAAATTCTTAATTTTGCAAATTTTTAGATACGCAACTTCTCCAATCCCCAAATTCCTAAATTCAAAATTTCTCAAATTCCCAACTTCTCAAATCCCCAATTCCTCAAATTCCCAACTCCCAAAATCCCCAAATTCCTAAATTCCAAATTTCTCAAATTCCCAACT